TTCACATGAGATATGATAAGATGAATTTGTATAGAATTTTAGTGTGTGAAATGAAAAATATGACTACGTATTTATTTTAAAAAATATTCTGAAATATTTAGTATTTTTTAAAATTTTTTTTTTTTAGTTGCTGACGTCAGCAACCCCAGGCTAGAACAAGGGCTCATTTTGCTTACTGGCCTGGTTTCGTGGGACCCACAACTTGCCCTGGCAAGTTTGGCCCGTTGGAAGGCGTCGCTTAGGCTTGGGCCCTATCCTGCCCTGGCTTGAGGCAACCGGTGGAAATGCTCTTAGTACAAGGCCTAGGTTTTAGTCTTAGTGATATTATTCTATTTGTATTTTTATTCTTTTTTCATTATAACCCAAAAAAAAAAAAGTTTATAATTGATTTGAAGAAAAAGTACTTTCTTTCACTCGAAACAAAAATGCATGCCGCCTTCTTTCTTTGGAACTCTAATTTTTTTTCCGGGCATTTATGATTGATTTGAAAACATCATTCTGATTGATTTGAAAAGAGTTTAATTACCATGCATGCACCTGTCGTTTTCATAGGGTGAAATGTTCATATACTCAATCCTTGTTTATCATATTCCCATTACTTTAAATAAGAGGAAAGAGAAAGTATTTTTGTCCACTACCTTTAACCATGTTGTAGCATTATCATTCTATTAACAATAATGCTCGGGACGGCAGCAGATTATAGCTCTCTAGAATTAGTAACAAAATTCTGTACATTTAGTTAGCTACATTCCAGCTTAGTTAGTCACACAGTCTTTGTATTAACATTGGTATAAATACCAGAATACTTCATTTTGTAACCACTGGTTCATTCTAATACAAAGAGACGATTTTTCTCATCAGGGGTATTAAGGCACTACAAGAAAAATGTCCATTTGCGACAGTCGACGTGGCCCTCGCAAATACATGTAATTTTACGCGCGGGTGATTCCCGCCAACATAATTGCGACACCTTAATTAATAACGTCGCATCTCACATCGCAAATAGGTTTGGAAGTGTTAAATTTGCGACGCTACTTGATTGTTGTCATATATCTCCTCTTAGGATGGGAGACAAAGCGTTGAAACTCAAAATTTTGAGCACGAAATCAAAACCCGATATCTTCTGATTTGTCATAGCCCCAAATCAATACCCTTAGAGCACTTCCACCAGTTAGATCCTTGCCATGGCAAGGGGAGCCCTAGGGCAGCTACTATTCACGTGAATAGTGGCTGCCCTACCCTCCCTTAGCAAAGTGTGTTTCCAGCAGTTTAGGCTTGCCATGGCAAATACTATTCATTTTTTTTTGTTTTTTTTCACAACTTTGTTTACTTAAACAATTAATTTGGATAATATTTTCGGATAAGATTTTTGGGTTCCTACGTATAAAAAATCATTTTCTCAAGATTTTTAGCGGATGTGCAATATTGACTAAGTATGAAAAATAGTTTTTCGAAATAATCATTTTCTCAAGAAAATTTTTGGCGGCTTTTATTCCTTACACATCAAATAAGAAAACATGATTTTATGGGATTTTAATATGAAGTATATATTGACTTAATGAGCCATCATTTTTAGCCTAAATCGTATTTTGCACTAAAACCGATTTTTCATATTTTGATTTGGTGGGAATTTGATTTTCTAGTATTTTTATTTGAATCCAAATGGGGGGTACTTCCTTATTTACATTGTAAACTTAAGTAAATGGAGTAAAATAAAAATAAATAAAAGTAAAAGGACAAAGACATTTACTTAAATGTTGAAAATGGAAATAAGGTATAGAGAGAAAAAAAAATAAGTAATTTCTTGGTATTTTTTATTACAAAAATATTGGTTGTTGGTGTTAAAAGTGAAGAGTATTGGTTGGTATTTATAGAAAACAATTTCAGTATTTTTTGGGTATTTTTTTACATTTTTTTCGATTTTTTTCTTTTTTTTATTGGGAACAATGGGGTGACGTCATCGTGACATCAGCTTAGCCCGCAGGCAAGCACTCAGGCCGAACCCCACCTCGGGCCAGCCCAGGCTGCTGGCCCCCACCTCTTCCCCGGGCTCCATTTTGTTGCTGGAAACACCTACAGGACCCAAACCCCCCCCCCCCAGCCCGAGCCTGCATTGCTAGAAATGCTCTTATGCTTCTGATTACTCTTAGCCCCAAATCGATACCAAAAATGGCCAAAGATCACTACAACAATCGGTTGGTTTCTCTTTCTTCGTCATTCTCTTTCTCTCCCTCCCTCTATCAGTCTCTCTATTGGGCTTCTCTAATTTGTTTGTGTTTTGAATTTCATGTATTACTACAAAATTTCCAGGTTTTCAGACATTTCAAAGAGACGATTCTAACTTTATCAATGACTTCTAGATTTTAGGAACCCTTCCTCCTCTTATCAGGGTATGTATTTGGTGTGGATTTTTTTTTTTTCAATTTTTTTTTCATTAGTTTTATGCTTTTTCCCAAGGGTGGGCATAAAAACCGATAAACCGAATGAACTGACTGAACCAAACCAAACCGAAAAAGGAGGTTTTTTTTACCAAACCGAAAAAGTCAACGGTGGACCTGACCCGAACCGTTGACTTCGATTCAGGCTTTGGGTCTAAAAAATTTTAAACCGATGGACCTGAACCGAACCGCATAATATTTAATTATATATGCATTTTCCATGTGTCATTGTCTGATTGGCTTAAAAAAGAGTTTATACGGAGTCTGCTTGCACTGGATCATTACCCGCACAAAGTAACCTAACTTAACTCGTTCACTCTCGTTCGTCTCTCCCTCTTTCAGCCCTAACTCACACTCGCCGCCTCTCTCTCGATCTCACTGCTCCTGTCGTCCTCACCAAATCGACGGCGATGGCTACCGTTACGGCGTCATCGTTGTCATCGTCGCTCTCTCTATCTCTTGTCTCACTCACCCCCTCTACCTCTTTCTCTCACCTCACCCTCTCCTCTCTCGCTCTCTGCACCTCTCTTTCTGACAAGGAGGAACCAGAAGCACCTTGACAGCAATCCCCCATAGCTGAAGACCCAGATGTGGTGGTGATTATGGATGAATCTGACTCTGTGCTAGCGGTGGTGAGTTCTGAAAATTTGCTTGCTTGATGTTCACGATATATTGGTTCTGAAATATGTTTGATGTTAATGACATTTTGGTTATGACATTTTTTTGTGGTTATAGATAGACCTGTTGCTGTTTCGGTGGGATTGATATTTGATGCTTCATTTTTTATTTGGTTGATTAAATATTGATGGAAATAAAATTTAACATCTTGAAGTATTGGGGTTGGGGGAAATTAAGGCATTCCCAGCTATTTGGTTTGCCTTGGCTGAAATAGATTTCTTAAGAAAACGAAACAACAAAGCTTATAAGATGTTTTGAATGATAACTGATTGAGGAGTGTTTTGATCTGTGTATTTGAGTTGATTGAGGTGCTATAACTTGTTTTGATATGTTTAAATGATTTGAGACAAAAACTGCAAACACTTTTCTTTTTTTTGGGTGAAATTAACTATCGAGTTGGAGTATGATTATGGTTGTTTGGTGAGTGATTTTTGACTGATACAAGTGTATTTTTTTTTTTGTTTTGCTCCCTTAACTGATACAATCATACAAGTGAATGTGTTTGGTATTTAAAATCTAATTAGGTGTTTTACTTGTATTTTTTTTTATGGGTTGTAAAATATAATTTGGTGCTTTACTTGTATTTTTTGTCATGGCTTGGGATGTAACTTGTAAGAAACAACTAATTTGATAGTTGGATGATGCTTGTGATTGTGATTTAGTTTAGAAACTTTAAAAAAGCAGGTTATAGTTGAGTTGAATTTACATGCTTTGGGTAAGGAAAAATGAAATGGGCTTTAAGGGATGGCTTGTTTGAAAAATTGGCATTGTGAAAAAAAAAAACAAAATTGGGCTTTTAAATAAATAAACTAATTAGGTTTTGGCAAAAAAAAAAAAAAAAAGTGAGTTGGGCTTAAAAAACTAGTGTTGGGGCCTAAAGCCCAAAACTGACAAAAAAAGCCAAAAAAAATGAACCGGAAGCCTATCGGGTCGGGCCCATTTTCGGTTTTAAGTTTGGACCCGACCCAACCCGAGAATCGATTTCCTACTCAGTTTGGCTTATCGGATCACTCAAAATTGGACCCGACCAGAACCGTGCCCAGGCCTACTTTTCCCAACCATGGTTTATGGAATTGCTTGGTTTTGCTCCCTTTTCCTATTTGGTTTATGGATTTTCTATTGTCTTAGTGTTTGTCTTTGGGGTTGTAGCATGCCTTGCCTTTAGCTTTGTGTTGTTTGGCTTTTACTGAATCTCCTCTTTACAAAAAAAATAAAATAAAACTGTTATTTGAGTATTTGGTGTTCATATGATTAATCGTTGATTTTATTTAGTCCTATTTATCATATTTTGTTTTGTATCGTATGGAATTTGGTTTCCCTATTCTTTTACATGAAACTACTATGAAACTTAGCCCCAAATTTTCTATGTTTGTAATTGTGTGAATAGGTTAGGATTTATCATAGTAATGAGTCTTTGAATTTGACCACAGTTTGGTTTGGAGTTGGTGTAATAATAGTGTAAATAGGGTTGGAGTTGGGAACTTGATTTGTTTGTCCACTTTTATATAAAAAAAGAAAGTGAATTGGATTGAAATCTTAGACTTGTTTTGTCTTAGACTCTCATATTCCCATTCAGCACTGTATGTGAATGAATCAAAAATGCCAGTTGGGAGGGTGATAGTGGGTGCGAGAGAGAGAGAGAGAGAGAGAGAGAGAGAGAGAGGTTATGTGCTAATGATTCTTTCTATAGTCATTGACCATATAGGTATTGTTATTAGCTTATCCTTTTATTTAATTTATAGCAAAGAGAACAAGTCCAAATTCTAGGCCAACTAAAGAGACACAGGTTCAACAAACAGAGAAACTACAGAATCCTTAAGAAAAATTCCAGCATGAGTGAAGCTATCATCACGCTTGTATATAACTTCAATCGCACGTGCAAGATTAATTCAGAATTTGCAACAATAGGGGCATGGGGAAGATGGTGGGGCGGAGGCAAATTTCGTTTATGTCCTTCCATGCATTGCTCATTTTATTACTTAGTTCGATTGTTGCTTCTTCTTCTGTGGCATCATATTGTTCCACGTAGCATTCCACAGCTGAGGCAACATGTCCTCTCTTTTGTTCAAACTACAGAAACGTAGACATGAACCTTAATCTCAATCATATTCGCTACTTTGTTGAGGGCTGTTAATTAATATATATATATATATATATATATATATATATATATATACAATGTGGAGTGGACGCTACAAGAGTGTCCCTCAATAGAAGCTCACTGTGTATGTATATGTCAGTACCTTATGCGACTTCATGTCATCCACGAGCCTCCCAATTACAGATGCAGCCTTTTCAATCTTAGGGTCACTAAACACCCAATCCATGGAGTCTTTTGTAACAATATCTCCCATTCCAATAAAGGATATGGTTGCTAGCGGAAAGTAGGATGTGTCAAGTGCTGCTGACATAATTCATCCATTGTTGGTGTGTACTTCTGGTGGAATCATTTGGCTTCTTGGAAGTAATAAGCTCTAACTTGACCTTTCATCTGACCGACCAAGCCAGCCATGTAGTAAATCTTCAATCTATTTTTAACATTATATAGGACAAGAAGATATATTGCATATTTCTATATAATTAATTGTGTATTAGTACCATTATTTTTTCCTTCCCCTTGTTTGAGACTTACCGCTTCTCTCGCATAGTGGATGCGGTATAAGTTTCCTCTGTTTATAAGCTTTTCTTCAATTTCAGTGTAGAGATCCAACAATGCTTGATAACAGACTTTCAAGTACTATGGCAGATATATCCCACCTGATGATGATCAAAATAAGTTAGACTATGTCAACTGGCTCATTATGTGTTAGGAATAATAAGGGACATGTCTTGAAGGGTCCTGGGATTATCTCAGAAAAATTACATTGACAGGATACTCAAGAGGTTTAATATGGAGCACTGCTCAAAATGGAGAGTTGCCTATAGGAAAAGGTGATAAGTTGAATAAAGATCAAAGCCCCAAGATTGATCAAGAAGGGAAGGAACAAAGGACAAACCATATGCTTCACTTCTGGGATGTGAATGTGATGTATGCACAATTCTGTGTTCTCAATAGGTTTCAAGCAAATCCTGGAGAAGCTCATTGGGTGGCAGCCAAAAAGGTTATAAGGTATTGAAAGAGAACCAGAGCTTTTATGTTAGTATCATCGGGCTGCTCAGATGATAGGAAGTCTACAAGTGGCTATTTTTTTCTCCTAGCAGGAGGTGCAATTTCCTGAAAAAGCGCAAAGCAAACCTCTATAGAAACTTCTACCATGCAAGCAGAGTTTATAGGCTGCTATGAGTATGAGGCGACTAGGAAGGTTGTGCTTAAAAATTTCATTGGGCATAGTTGACTCCATAGAAAGAACTTTGAGGATATATTGTGATAATAAAGCAGTTGTTTTCTTTTCAAGGAATAACAGGAGAACTTCAGCCACAAGACTCATGGACATATAAGTTTCTTATGGTTCAAGACTCATGGACTCATGGACTCATATAACCTCTTTTATGTACTAATTAAGCTAGGATTTTTTTTTATTCACAAAACATCCATGAAATTTAAGAACTATCATCTTTTGCTCTTAAGGTTTTATTTTTATTTTTCCCTTCAGGGATTGATTGTCCTCCAAATTAACCTTCGTACTTCAAGTTGCTCCCAGTTGTTTGATGATGTCAAAAAGCCTATTAAATTGCTAACGTGACACACAACCAGGGATGGACCCAGGATTTGAAAATGGGGTGGGCTAAATTTATCTTATATACGCACCGGAGAGTGGAACATATAAAGGTACAGCTACTGGTACCAATTCGTTCTTTTATTTATTTAATGTTTTTCGTTTAAATGGATTATGTGTGACGAGGGTTATCTGTGGAAGGAAAATTAGCAATAGACTATTCATAATAGATAGATATATATATATATATATATAAAGAAGTTGGTAGTAGGCTAAAAAAGTAATAACAAGACAGAAATACTTTTCATTTTAGAGAGAACTTTAAAGAGAAGTCATACACAAAAATATCCTGGAATAGTCAAAGAGAATTCAATTCATTAGTTTGTCTCATCTTCTTTCCCTTGAGTGTATTGTTGGATGAGCGATGAGCCTATGAGTTTTTGGATGTGAGTATGGCATGATTGTCATTAGTAGGCATAGGTGGGCTAAATTAAATTTTACGCTGATAAAAGAATAACTCTCCTGGGCTATCGCCTAGGTTAGTCCCTTTTAGGGATTGTCCTTGCTTGTAAGTTGTCATGGAACACTTCAAACGGAGAGAAACTCTCATGTAACGGGGATAGCACGTTTTGCTATCCCCGACCAATAACGCAATGACAAGTAGGATAACTTTTCCACATGTCATTGTATTATTGGTTGGAGATAACAAAACAGTATTATCCCTATTATAGGTAAGTTTTTTTACTTTAAACGATAAGATTTTGGGTAGTTGGGTCGATTTGGTGGTTTGAGGGCTGGTTGGAAGTAATTATTCAAAGGGCTAATGACAAAAGACACCCTGCTGGTTTAGGGTCATTCTCGAATTGGACCCCATAGTATCGAGTTTATCAATTTACGCCCTGACGTTCTGAACATCGTCCAATTTAATCCTTCTGTTAAGTTGACTAGACGGTCAATCGTTAACTGTTGACGTGGCACCCGTGGGACCCACCCCACCAACGATTTGACCATTCTTCTCATGCCATCTGAATGGCAGTTTTGGGTTCCTATAATTAAAAAAAAAAAAAAAAAAAAAAAAAGAACATCGCGCGCCAAAATTGGGCACTCTTTGCAAGAAGACGACTGAAGTAAAAGCCCCAAACTGTCGTTCATCCTCAACCTTAGCTGGAGATCGAAGAGAAAGCCCCAAATTCGTCCTAAACCCTAACGTAAATCCTAAATTTCCATAGCTGAGAGCTCAAATATACGATTTCGAAGAAGTGAGCCGCCCGATTGTATTGGCTCCTTAACCTAGAAAACGAAGGAGAAATGGAGCATAAGGCGATGGTGTGTTAGTGTGGTAAGAATGCAAGAATCCGAACCTCGTGGACAATTTCGAATCCTGGGAGGCAATTCCTTGTGTGTGCAAAGGTAAAAAACTGGATTTGGTGCAAAATATTAGAATTTGAATTGTAGCAGGTGCAAATGTTAATTTACAGAGTGGGTTTTGTGCAAGGTAGAGGAGGTTGTGATTTCTGGGTTTGGTATAATGTGGAAATGTGTGAAAAGTCTAAAGTTGTGATTCTGGGGTTTCTAAAATCGCGGGATAAGTTGGAGAATTCACTAGCAAAGGCTAGATGCATAGAGACGGTTCTTCGGGCAGCATTGGTGGTGTCGTGGATGCTTATTGCAATGTCCTTCTTTGGACGGAATGATGGATCAGATGGACTGAAGCTGAAGACTTTAGAATTGGCATGAAATGGGGTGTTTTAGGGATGCACTGTGGTTTTGGTATGGGAATTAATGTGCTTTTGGTTAGGTCTGCACTGTGCCTTTGGTATGGAAAGCAGTGTGTTTTTGGTTATGTAATGGGAATGAACATTTTGCATTTTGGTTATGTAATGAGAATAGCTATGTAATCTGCATACAATGTGAAATTTTGGTAATGCAATGGCCTGTTCATTCCAACAACTTGTGTGTACAACATATGAGCAAATTGATTTTCACTTGCAGCATTACAACAAAATAGGCCACCTAATAACATATCCACTTGCAGCATTACAACAAAATAAGCCACAAAACAACATTTACAACCTTCCAAAATAACAGAACCTGTGTTCCAAAAAAAAAAACAGAACCTGTTTTCCAAAACAAGAGTACATGTTTTCCAAAAACATAGTACCTGTTTTCCAAAAAAAATAGTACTTGTCTTACATATTTGATCACAAGCTATCTTCCTAACACAGGGCAACTTGTCTTCCAAAATAACATAATAACATAAGAACCTAATCCAACCAGCTAATAAAGGTAAAACTATCTCATGCTCATAATAACCAAACCAGCTAATACAACACAGACCATCATCATTCCTTGCTTAAGTTTGATGCTCTCACAATCATAGGTCGTTTCCTCAATAAATAAGAATTGCCAATTGATGCATGAGGGGCAGATCCAATTGCAACAGAGGCAGATCCACTTGCAGGTGTTGAGGATGGAGTAGCTGAATCAGTTGGTGGTGCATTTGAACTTCCAGCTGCACTGGTGGCCTTTCTCTTCCATTTTCCTTTCTGCACAGATCTTGCAGGCTTAGCTCGCCTTGTTTTTGTACTGGGACCAGCTTCACTTGTTTGAGTAGTTTGCTGGGATGAGACAACAAATAATAAACTATTAGTTGCATCATATTCCAAAAACATTAACATTTATAACATTAACAAATGTTCATCCTTAGATGTTTAGCGCCTTCCTCTTTTTGATTATTGTTTTTGGGGGGAGATTCCTATGACAAGTACTTTTATTGTGGCCCTTTCTTCCACATTGGCCACACCTCAGTGAGTCTTAAACTTTTGTAACAACATTTGCCTTGTTGCTGCATTCACATGCTTCCTTCTTTCTAGCCTTTCTTAGCCTTCTAGGTTGTTTGGAGTATGAAAGAGGCACACGTGGTGGCATATTAGTTTTATCCTACAACTCCATCCCATTCATAGCTAGTATAAGGTTTTCATATGCCTTGAAATATGTTTGAGTGTGATAACATGCATCTACATAATCCATAACATTCAGGCCCCCATTGTAATTTATAGCTGCTACTCCATGAACACAAGGCCAACCAGTCAAATCTCATTCTCTGCAAGAACAGGTCCTCAAATCCAAGTCCACAATATACTGTGAAATCCTACCACTGCCAACTTGAAATTTTCCTCCACCTAACCACATAGTCACACAACCACCTGTTTTTGCTTTATTAATTTCTACCTTCTTACAAATCTTGGGGCAAATTTCCTTTGTCTAATTCTTCATTTTGTCACTTTTGCCTTGTATCCTCCTCATCAACTTACACCTAACTATCTCAAGCATAGTCAGTATTGGCTTATCTCTGCATATCAATATAAATGAGTTGAAGGACTCACACATATTGTTTAAAAGCATATCACACTTCACATGAGTGCTGAAGTGTGATCAAGACCAATGCCTGTGAGGTTTTCCTGGTTAAGTCAACCAAGCTTAAGCATCCATATCAAGGTTTTTCAGCTCTTCCATCTGTCTTGCAAACTGTGGAATAGTTGTTGCTTTTGCAGCACCCCAGAATTTGTCAAACAAAGCTTTCCCTTTGAATTGTAATATGAAGTTGGTGAACAGATGTCTTGCACAAAACCTGTGTTCACTATTAGGAACAACTTTCTCAAAAGCTGGTAATAATCATTTTTGCTTGTTTGATATGAAAGTGTATCCAAACTGGTTAACAATCTCTACATTCTTTACCAACAATTCCAGAAACCAAACCCATGACTCTTTGCACTTAGACTCAACCACTGCATATGCAATCACCCATGTTTCATTATTAGCATCTATACCAACTGCTACTAAAAATTGCCCTCCATATACACCTTTCAAGAAGCAGCCTTCCAATCTAATAATGGGTCTGCATCCAGCAATGAACCCTGCTTTACATGCACCTAGGCACACATATAACCTTTGAAACACTGGATGACCCAATTGTTCATTGAAATCACATTGAACTTTGGTTGTTGTTCCTGGATTGGTCTTCCTTCACTCTTCACAATAATCCCCAATTCTGGAGTATTGCTCTGTGTATATTCCCTCAATTTGCCTCAATGCCTTCTCTTTTGCCCTATAAACTTGTTGCCTAGAAACTCCAATGTTATAATCCTTCTCCACAGTCTCCATGAATGAGCTAACTGGCCAACTTGGATTGCTCTTCAATGTTTCCATATATTTGGCACTGAGCTAACTAGACTTCACAGTGGGGTTCTCCCAAACAATACCACAAGTGTGTTCACCCTCATATTTCTTAACCTGTAGGGTCTTCTCATCCTGCATTTTGGAAGCATATATCTCCTATGGGCAATCTGGATCTGCACAAACTGCCTTTAGCTTGAAAGCCTCACTTCTCACAAATACAACATCCTTATTCCTCTTTATAAATTGTTCTCTCACAGCCGCTCTATAAACTTTACAATCGCTAAACTTCATCCCAACCTCAAACTCTGGATCTGCCATGTCAGTTGCCGGATTGAACTCTGGCCACCTATCCGTCATTGGAGTGTCATCATCAGAATAATATTTAGGTTGCACATTATCAGAATCATACTCCTCTAAATCCAATTCAACATCTGCACCCCAATCCCAAGATTCAACCCCAGCATTTGTTGACTCTGGCTCTTTTCCTTTTGCCCCATCTCCAACCCACTCAGTTTGTTTGTCCACCCATTCATCAAAATCGACATCATCATCATTATCATCACAACTGAAGTTAGGGTCTGCAAAATCAGAGTCAAGACTGTCCGCTGACTCCTCCTCATCATGACAGGAAGTGGTCCTTGTTCTTGCTTTTCTTGTCTTCATTGGATGACATCTTGATAAGTTGCTCTTTTCTACATTTCCTTCAATAACCTCTTTCTGAACTAGTCCCTCAGTCACTGTATTGGACCTTTGGTCTTCTTTATCACGTGTCTTTTTTACATTTTTGCACCTCCTTTTACCAAAACCTTTTGCCCTCCTTTTCCCAAAAACAGAACTGACTTTACTTTTCCCTTTTTGTACAGTAGCAGCAGATTCCTTCTCAACAGCTCTTTCTTTGTCTTTTTGCACAGCAGAAGATTCCCTCTATACTGCCTTTTCTTTGCCTTTTTCAGAAACACCATGTCTTGCACAGGATTCCCTTGGCTTTTGCGTACCCCCACCACTTTGTTCCCCATTTGGGTCTTCATTGAGCTCTTCTATCACCACATTTTTTTTTTTTTTTTTTTGTTTTTCCATTGTTTGCATTTCCCACCAACAGGAATAATAGCCTCATAATTGTCATCAAGCTCCTCAATCACAACTCCTCTGTTAAGCACAATATCAGCTTCTGCATCAACAAACATATTTGATCCTGATTGACTATAAAACCAACCCTCATTACTATCAACCCCATGATGTAGGAAGATGTCAATTAGCCTTGTCTCTGGTACAAATACAAGCATGTCTATGACATCTTGATCATCATTAAGCTTTGTTAGGCCACCATTGCTATAGATAGAGATACCAGTAACTAATCACCCCATCATTGCCTAACTCCTTCACCATATTGTCTATCTCAGTCATTGACATTCTATCATTGTCACAATAATCAAACCAAGCTACACTGCCAGAAGCATAACAGTTACCACAGATTTGACCACCATGGTACATTCGAATAGAAAACAATTCAGGATCACCTACATATTACATGTGCCAAACATGGGTTATTTTCAGTTCAAACATAAAACACAACACAAAACAGTGTTTGCGGTAAACCGCAATGAAACCGCAATCGCGGTAAACCGAACCGCATTTGCGGTATTAAGAACCGAACTGCATTTGCTGTTGCGGTTGCGGTATTTGATTTTCAAAACTTGCGGTTACCGCAAACCGCAAAGTATAGCCGCACGAATGATGAAGTTGAATTCTACAAGGAAATGGAACATATGACAACTTGTAAGTAATTAGTTTATTTATGCTAATGTTATTTATGCTTATGCTTATTTATGCTTATGCTTATTCAAATCCACTCACCACCAACACTTGAGTTTGTAACTTTAGTTTGTAATATTGGTGCATTGCATTTTCCTTTTAGTTTGTAACTTTAATTAACTTTGAATTGGATTTTTCTTTTTGGTCGTAACTTTAATTCATTTTGCTTTGCATTTTCCTTTTGATTTGTAACTTTAAAGGATTTGGAATTTGAATGCTTGAGAAGTTTAACTTTAATTGGAATGCTTGGAATTGTAACTTTAATTTTCTTAGGTTGTAAATGCTTGAGAAGTTGAGGAGATTGTGTATTTATATATGCTTGAGAAATTGAGGTTGTGTATTTATTTATTTAGGGAGTGAATTTATATTTTTGTGAATGCTTGAGAACTTGCGGTTTTAAATCGCTAATTCGCGGTAACCGACGACCGCATTTTGCGGTTTACCGCAATGCGGTAAACCGCAAAACGCGGTCGGTTTGCAGTTTCAAAAATCACCAAACCGCAAATAGTCGGTCGGTTTGCGGTTTGAGTAAAAATTCGCGGTTACTGAACCGCAACCACCCCTACAAAACACAGTATTCAAACATTATACAAAAACCATAAGTGATTTTTCAATTATTTTCAGTTTAGGACCATTATACAAAAGTCCAAATTTTTATTAAACAACCCTTCACACCCTTCCACCTAACACTTTTGCATTATTAAAAGCAGACGCTTAGACTGTTAAAGGCAGACATTGCCAGCACATGCTTAGCTTGAAGGACCACCTATATTCGACAAAATCTTTCATACTTCTCCCACTATTCCACTAAACCCTATAAAACACAACATTCAAACTAGAATAACCCATACGACCTCTAACCCATTCAACACAGATATCCCAAATCACAAAAATTTAACCCAACTTACCGTACGATGGATGCGGAGCGCCTGGAGCCCTGAAATCCCAACTCATTTCCTCTCACTTCTTCGAAATCGTAGAACTTGCTATCAACTATGGAGATTTAGGATTTAGGTTAAACTGAGGTTGAGGACGAATGACGGTTTGGGGCTTTTACTTCAGTCGTCTTCTTGCAAAGCGTGCCCAATTTTGGGGCGCGATGTTCAGGTTTTTTTTGTTTTTTTTGTTTTTTGTTTTTTGAATTGTAGAAACCCAAAACTGCCCTTCAGATGGCATGAGAGGAATGGTCAAATCGCTGGTGGGGTGGGTCCCACGGGTGCCACGTCAGCAGTTAACGATTGACCGTCTAGTCAACTTAACAGAATGATTAAATTGGATGATGTTCAGAACATCAGGGCGTAAATTGATAAACTTGGTACTATGGGGTCCAATTCGAGAATGACCCTAAACCAGCAGGGTATCTTTTGTCGTTAGCCCTTATTTAAATAAAGAAAAAAATTCTAAAAAAAAAAAAAAAAAAAAAAAAAAAAAAAAAAAAAAAAAAATAAATAATTGTCATATACAAAGGTACAAAAGCAGTCTGTCACAAAACTTTCGGACAATGTTAAAAAAGTCCTCAAATGGAGCTCTACCCCAAGCCCGGTACTCACATTTTAAGAAATAGGTGATAATGGCAAGATTAACCTTTGAAAGCAAAAGGTTAAAAATAAAAAAAAATAAAAAAAACAAAAAAAAACAAAAAAAAAACCAGTAAAGCTACTACAACAATCAGAAATAATGGCCTTTTTTGTTCTTTGACTTTTTTCCTTTCATTTCATGTACGACCTTTTCTTTTTTTAAAGAAAATATTAAAATGACAATGATTAAATTAGTGGTTAAATGATTTAGAATTCGAGTGATTTTTTGCACGCATGATCTTTAAGACCCTTATGACCTTTCTTATGTACTTATTATGCTGGGTTCTTATCACAAAACATCCATGAGATTGACAAACCATCTTTCGTCCTTGAGGCTTTTTTCTATTAAGAATAGTTCAAGTTGGTCCATGTTATTCGATTTCGTTAAAAAGGCTATTAAATTGTTGACGTGGCACACAACCACCTCTCCCTATCGCCCCATCCCATAGCACCCAATTCCCCAACCCCTCACCCCTCTCCCATGTATTATACTATATACATGTTTACTAAGTAGAGGAATAATTGTGTTCAATAATATTTATTTCTATGTCATTTTGTCAATGGTGACGCTTGATGGTTAGATAGAGCCTATGAGTATATGACCACAAAAGAGAAAATGGGTATTTCTACCATACCTTCATAAATTGTATAGGTATGGAACATGAGTCAATTGGGAAACTCATGCAAGAGATACGTGACCCAGTTTATTCTCAAAGAGAAGATTTGCAGTGGATCCAGGCCCATGTAAAGAACTGTGTATCAACTAAGCTATTTACCTCTTAATAATATAAATACAACAAGATTCTCACTCTACTAACTAATTTGGTAACTGCGATTGGATTGGACTATGATGTAAAATTGGATTGAATTGGCTTACAATGGAACTTCCACTACAAGTCCCTACAACTCCAATTACAAGTATATGCTAAAAAGTTAAACAAATTTTATTTCATTCATAGCATCAAGAGCAAACAGGAACACCAAACTAATTAATTCAAATAATGGTTCCAATCATGGAAGACTGGCTCCTTATTTTACTACAGGACTTGGGTAAGGGATATTCTGATTCTACTATGATATTTCTAAACAAACACTGATTTGGGCATCTGCGTGTTCTCTTGCAGGTACTCCCTTCTCTCTCATTTGTGGCAAGCGAAGTACGGTGATCGGCTTCTCAACAAGGACATAAGATTACTTGTTGGAGGACCAGAAATTTTATGCTCCAACAAAGGACAAGTTCAAATTCTAGGCCTATAGGGGCACAGGTTCTACAAACAGAGAAACTACAGAATCCTTGAGAAAAATTCCAGCATGAGTAAAGCCATCACCATGCTTGTATAAAACATCAACCACACGTGCAAGATTCAAAATTCGCAGTAACAGGGGCATGGGGATGGTGGTGTTCTGGATGCACGTTTCGTTTATGTCCTTCCATGCATTATTCACTTGCTTGCTTAGTTCGATATTTGCTTCTTCTTCTGTGGCACCATATTCTTTCATGTAGCATTCCACAGATGAGGCAACATGTCCTCTCTTTTGCTCAAACTGCATGAATATAGACAAGAAGGTTAAGGCTTGAAAGGGGTAAGTTATGGGGGACAATTCAAATAATTAAGAAACGAAAAAAACAAAATGTCTACATTATAATTATATAAAAAAATTAATCTTGTCTTATACACGTACGAGGCAAAAGACTTAGATCAACAACAACAAATGTGTGAACTAAACCCAACTTTTGGTTGAATTTTTGGATCTACCTGAAGTTAAAAGTTTGGTTTTGAGATCTATCTCAAGTTCTCTATAATTCAAATAAACTACTGTTATTTTAATTAGTACTTTTGATATATAAAAGTACCTGGTGGGATTTGATGTCATTCATGATTCTACCAATTAATGATGCAGCCTTTACCATCTTAGGGTCGTCGAACACCCAATCCATGGAGTCTTTGGTAGCAATATCTCCCATTCCAACAAAGGATGTGGTTGCCAACGTGAAGTTGGATGCATTAAGCGCTGCCGACATGTAGTCATCCATTGTTGGTGTGTATTTCTGATGGAACCATTTGGCTTTTCGGAAGTAAGCTCTAACTAGGACTTTCATCTGAAAGACCAAACCATGTAATTAATCTCTAATCTCTCTATAATTTCATCACACACAAAAAAAACCTAAGGGAAAAAAACATTTTTAGTCACTGAGTTTTACACAAAAATTCAATTTCATCATTAGAAAAATAAAAAATTAAGCCTAGTGACCAAATTGAAATTTCATGCAAAATCAGTGACCAAAAAAAAAGTTTATTTATAAAAAGTCCTACTACATATTTTACCACCAGAGAATGATAAAATATATCCTCTCCGTGACCAAATTAAACCTAGTGACCAAATTGAATAATCTATTTATAAAAAGAGAAAGACAGAGAATGATAAAATATTTTAAATACCAAAAAAAATGCCCTTAGTTAAAAAAATATATTAAGAAATGAACATATTTATTACATTTAGATTGACTTACTAATATGAAAAAAAAAATTATTTATATTTATTATAAAATTAAATAAAATAAAATAAAAACTCTAATTGGTAACGGCATAATAATATGGGCACGAAATTATTAATTCATGAGGCTCACTGCTTCTCTTGCGTAGTGGATGCTATATAAGTTTCCCTCATTTGCAAGATTTTCTTCAATTTCAACGTAAACATCCAATAGTGCTTGATAGCAAACTTTCATGTACTCTGGCAGATGATCCATAGCAGAGATGTCCCACCTTATCATATAAATAAGATGATATGAGACTATGCATGTCTTGTTACGGCTTATTCAGATATATTATGAGGAGCTGTTATAGACACTCCAAAAAAGTTGTCTTTTCATAATTGTTTTGGAGTGCATGATGACTTTTTTGGAGTGTCATCTGTAAAATTTCCTTAATCACTGAGGTTTTTTTTCGCCAAAATACTAATACTAACAAAATAAGGACTATTATTTTGAACCTTTCAACAGCTTCAGTAAAGAGCTCTAGTTCCTCATGTGTGCCGTACACATCATAGATGTCATTAATGATGGTTATCAAAGCAATAACTTTGCATAGTGTTATCCTAGCAAAGTAATATTGAGGCTCAAAGTGTACTCCCGAAGCCCAAAAGTAGCTCTCAACTACTCTGTCTCTTGCAAAAGGTAGCTTGTTTACAAAGTCTAAGTCCTTCCACCACCTGCATGAATGAATTACATTATGCTGATGTAAATAGGAGATTAAAACTGATTGACAATATATAATACATTAACCTTGAAATTTCACTTAGTTCTCTTTGATGAACTTGTTGCAGTAGATTGAAATCCAGCTTTGCGAAATTCAGGAGAGTCTCGTTCTGTGAATCGCGTTCTTGATAGAGAGACAGGTAATGCCTTGTTTCTAGCCTTGGCAAGCCCTTCCAGAATGGCTGGTACATGGCATGAGTGACTTGTTTCGAAAGTATGGGGCTTAAACGGTGCGTTGCGGATTCAAGATGAGTGGTGGTGAAGGTTAAGGCCTCATCAAGTATATCCTCTCCGTGGATCCTAAGATGTGTGGCTTCGTACAAGCTTAAAAGTCCTACTACATCATTCACCAGAGATTCCTTAAATTTCCCATCACCGTCCTTGAAATTATTGAATATATCTGCATGATGAGGCATTTTTAAAACAAACCATGATCAGAGGAAGAAAATTAATCCATAATTATAAAAAACCATGAGGGCTGCGTACCGCACGAAATATTATAACCTTGTTGTCTGAGTAATCGAAATCGGAGCGCTGCAGTGTAAAGCTCATTATCAGTTTCTTGGTCCCCAGACGCAGTACTGTCATGGGAGCTGGTGTGAATTTGCTGCAGAAGTTCCTCAATCTCATTTTCAAAATGGTGAGAGACACCTAAGCGCTGAATGTCATGAATCAAGCCCAATTTTTGTGAAGGCTTTTTAACTGGAGCCATTATGATCATCTTCACCTTTTCCTTCAGTTCTTGGGCACGTTGCTTAGTTTTGACGTTTGTTTCCTACAAAAACAGATTGAAAGGCCATTAAAAAGATAGGAACTTCAGCATGGTGCATGCAAATTTAAACCTAATGAAAATATACATATTTATTCCCTCCTTGTTCATAAAATATATATATATATATATATATATATATATATATACATATTCAAACTAATTGCTGCAGATGCGAAGTATATATAGTATTAGCCTACCACAGAAGCATATGACAGAAAATGATAGCCCCAAATGCTCGGAGAAAAATTAGCACAACGTCGATTAACATCATCAGGAGTGGCCTTAGGGGTTTGAGGTTGATCCGATGCAAGTGAAACTTGAACAGACATTGTATTGCTAGTTAAGAATCTGGAAGAGATCGAAGGTTAGAGAATAATATCTTAATTGCTCAAGGATTGGTGTGAGTTGAAAAGCTATGGTTCTTATCTATTTATAGTGAAAGCGTCTGTCTTTGTCTCTCCCTCACCCTCTCTAATATCTATAGATGGGCACAGCTGGAAGATATCCAACATGTGTTAAACATGAATCCCAACAGAGGGGTAAATTTGCCAGTTAAGATATCCTTTGTTCATGTTTCCTTTTTGAGTTTGTTTGAATATAGTACATATTACAACATATTTTACCCGGAAAGCACATGAGAACATTGATAAGACGTTGAAGGCTGCGGAGGCTGCGGAGGCTACAGGTGTGTTGAGATTTTTTCCCTAAGTCCTTAGAAGTCATTTTACAAAAAGGTAAATTTGTCTTGAAAATTTTGAAGATAAAGTGGGTGGGGAAATATGACAGGTGGTGGAAATAGTAACTCTTAAACTAAGGTACTCATCAATTTTGTCCAAAATAACCACAATATGAAGGAAAGGTGCCATATTTGATTGGAGGATATGTCTCAGGTTCAACTCATATATGAACGTAGAGACGGTGTATATCATCGGTCTACTACTACCAATATTATTGATATTGTCCCCAACTTAACCACTTATAATCTATCAAACCCATTAAGTCGGCACCCTCTGATACCCAATTATTTGAGAATTTATGCATGTATATATATATATATATATATATATATATATCTCCATAAAAAGGGATTTACAAAGGGATTCAGATCCTTAATTTGCTGCGATTTTCTTTGCTAGAATCCCCTTGACTTTTTTTTTAAATATAAACTTTACGGCTTCATTAAATAAAATCTAAGGGTTAAAAATTGTAGACATATATACTTATAAATGCTAGAATAGTCATTGTGTTTTATCACGTTGGCCAATTCAATCTCTGTGTTTTTAATTTAGCCAATTTGATCCCCGTGTGTTTAAGACCGTTAGCCAATGTGATTCATTCCATCAAAATTGCCGTTAAATAAACATAATTATCTTTTTTCTTGAAAACCTAAAAACTTATTTGAAATTGATTTTAAAATTTGAATTAATTTAAAAATATATTGAAACTTCATTAAAACTAAAACCTAACATTAGGAAGAAAAAAAAAAAGTGGATGGGCATAATCAGGGAGGGTGAGAGGCTGCTCAGCAATTTGAGAAGAGGGGGGCGTGGGGGGAAGTGGGGCAACGACCAGAGTGGGCTAGAGGATGGGTGGCGCGGCTGGGGATAAAAAACCTTTAGCATAAAAAACCCCCAAAAAAGGAGGAAAATCCGCCAAAGGAAAAAGAGCACCTCCCACTTGCCATCAAACATAAAGATCAACCATTAGCTTCTATATCTGCAGAAAGAAAAGGAGTTAGCCATAATGGCTCCTCCTCAATCCATGTGAAAAAACTAGCGTTCCGAGTGCCAAATTGAGCTAGCTCATGGGCAACCTTGTTACCTTCTCGTCGTTGCCAATTACAGGAGAAAGATCTAAACCACCCCTGCATCTCCTTGATATCTTCCACTATATTCCCTTCAGCTTCAAAACACTCTTCATTAGAGTTGATTCTATCTACCACCCCCTGCGCATCCATTTCTAACACTATGTCACGAAAGCCAAGATCATATGTGAACTGAAGACCTTCCTTTGCAGCAGTTAGTTCCATAGCTTGTGCACTAAAATGTCCTATCACTTGTCGAGAACAAGCAGCCATAAACTCTTTATTTCCATTGCGAATCACTACTCCAACTCCCCGTAATAACCCAGCAAGTTTGGCTGCCCCATCAACATTAATTTTGTACTGACCATCCAATGGGGCATGCCAATTAACAGAACTCTGACTAGGCCCTTGCCTATTATGGGAGCATATAGGGGCAAGAGTTACACAGTAAAACTCCGTCTGATAAGCCAAAGCTTTGTTAAACACTGATACACTCTCAAGACTGCGTCCTTGAAACAACAGATTGTTTTTGTCATTCCAAATATCCCAGCATAGAAAAGCAAAAAGATCCACCTCCTGTTTACTTGAGACCACAATGATTAAATTAACAAACATAATAAAACACATGAACTTTTTTAACATTAAAAACACAATTTTAATTTGGTAACATAAACACCGTTCTCTCACTATCCCAACTTACCACCGTCTCCTCTCTCTCTTCCAATCTCCCGATCTCCCAATCTGCCATCCTCATACCCACCTATCACTTTCGCAACCCACAAAATTCTGTCCCCTCTCACATCAAAGTAAGTAAATAACCAAAAGACTCTAGCTATATAGCTACTCCGGTATTGCAGGCTGTTGCTGTGGTAGTCCAAAGTCCAAATCCACAAAAACTAAAAACTATAGTGGTTTTTTACTGAAATAATATTATCCAACGTTAACTGAGAATTAACCCATCAATAATTCGATCGATATATTGTAAAGTAAACATGCTGTCATGACACGCCTTTTCCTCCCACGCTGAAAACATGCATGAAGAGGAGATTAAAATGGGCGGCTCTAACATGGTGCAAGTGGCACCATTGCACAAGGCCCCTGATTTTTTAGGGCTCTGAATTTTTTTTAACTTTATAATATATTAATATTATAACAACTTTATCTATACTCAAGCATGCAACACATTGACACAAAAAGTGTATTTGGTGGAGATGATTTCTAGTGCATATCCCTTAGAGCACTTCCACCTATTTGTCATGACAAAAAGCAAGGGGAGGCAATGACTATTATTATTCACGTGAATAGTGGCAGCCTTTCCAAAAGGCTTGTGGTGTTTCCACCCATTGCCATGGCAACCACTCTTCACATGAGATATGAGGAGAGGAATTTGTATAGAATTTTGGTGTGGGAAGTGAAAAATATGACTACGTATTTTTTTTTTTAAATTCTGAAATTTTTAGTATTTTTTTAGGTTTTTTTTTTGGTTGCTAACGTCAACAAACCCAGGCTAGAACAAGGGCTTAACCCATCAATAATTCGATCGATATATTGTAAAGTAAACATCCTGTCATGACACGCCTTTGCCTCCCACGCTGAAAACATGTATGAAGGAGGAGATTAAAATGGGCGGCTCTAACATGGTGCAAGTGGCACCATTGCACAAGGCCCCTGATTTTTTAAGGGCTCCGATTTTATTTTTTTTAACTTTATAATATATTAATATTATAAAAACTTTATCTATACTCAAGCATGCAACACATTGACACAAAAGTGTATTTAGTGGAGATGGTTTCTAGTGCATATCCCTTAGAGCACGTCCACCCATTTGCCATGGCAAAGGGCAAGAGGAGGCAATGACTATTACTATTCACATGAATAGTGGCAGCCCTTGTAAAAAGCTTGTGGTGTTTCCACCTATTGCCATGGCAACAACTCTTCACATGAGATATGATGAGAGACATTTGTATATAATTTTAGTATGGGAAGTAAAAAATATGACTCCATATTTATTTTAAAAAATATTCTGAAATATTTAGTATTTTTTTAGATTTTTTTTTGGTTGCTGACATTAGCAAACCCAAGCTAGAACAAGGACTCATTTTGCCTGCGGGCTAGCCTGGTTTCGTGGGGCTCACAACTTGCCCTGGCAAGTTTTTCCCGATGGAAGGCGTCACCTGGGCATGGGCCCTGTCCTGCCCTAGCTTGAGGCAACCGGTGGAAACACTCTTAGTACAAGGCCCAGGTTTTAGTCTTAGTGATATTATTCTATTTTTATTTTTATTCTTTTTTCATTATAACCCAAAAAACAAAAATAGTTTATAAATTTATATATAAAAAAAACAAACAAACACACACACACATGAAAAATAAAGGGGAAATATCCAACTAACCTAACAACATTATATATCACATCCATATGATTTTTCCTATAAAAAAAAGTACTTTCTTCCACTCAAAACAAAAATTCATGCCGCCTTCTTTCTGTGGAACTCTAATTTTTTTACCGAGTATTTATGATTGATTTGAAAACATCATTCTGATTGATTTGAAAAGAGTTTAATTACCATGCATGCACCTGTCGTTTTCATAGGGTGAAATTTTCATATACTCAATCCTTGTTTATCATATTCCCATTACTTTAAATAAGAGGAAAGAGAAAGTATTTTTGTCCACTACCTTTAACCATGTTGTAGCATTATCATTCTATTAACAATAATGCCAGGGACGGCAGCAGATTATAGCTCTCTAGAATTAGTAACTAATTCTGTACATTTAGTTAGCTACATTCCGGCTTAGTTAGTCACACAGTCTTTGTATTAACATTGGTATAAATACCAGAATACTTCATTTTGTAACCACTGGTTCATTCTAATACAAAGAGACGATTTTTCTCATCAGGGGTATTAAGGCACTACAAGAAAAATGCCCATTTGCGACAGTCGACGTGGCCCTTGCAAATACATGTAATTTTACGCGCGGATTATTACTGCCAACATAATTGCGACACCTTAATTAGTAACATCGCATCTCACATCGCAAATAGGTTTGGAAGTGTTAAATTTGTGACGCTACTTGATTGCTGTCGTATATCTCCTCTTAGGATGGGAGACAAAGCGTTGAAACTCAAAATTTTGAGCACGAAATCAAAACCCGATATCTTCTGATTTGTCATAGCCCCAAATCAATACCCTTATGCTTCTGATTACTCTTAGCCCCAAATCGATACCCAAAATGGCCAAAGATCACTACAACAATCGGTTGGTTTCTCTTTCTTCGTCATTCTCTTTCTCTCCCTCCCTCTATCATTCTCTCTATTGGGCTTCTCTAATTTGTTTGTGTTTTGAATTTCATGTATTGCTACAAAATTTCTAGGTTTTCAGACATTTCAAAGAGACGATTCTAACTTTATCAATGACTTCTAGCTTTTAGGAACCCTTCTTCCTATTATCAAGGTATGTATTTGGTGTGGATTTTTTTTTCAATTTTGTTTTTCATTAGTTTTATGCTTTTCCCTAGGGGTGGGCATAAAAACCGATAAACCGAATGAACCGACCGAACCAAACCAATCCGAAAAAGGAGGTTTTTTTTACCAAACCGAAAAAGTCAACGCTGGACCTGAACCGTTGATTGAGGTGCTATAACTTGTTTTGATATGTTTAAATGATTTGAGACAAAAACTGCAAACACTTTTCTTTTTTTTGGGTGAAATTAACTATCGAGTTGGAGTATGATTATGGTTGTTTGGTGAGTGATTTTTGACTGATACAAGTGTAATTTTTTTTTTTGCACCTCCCTTAACTGATACAATCATACAAGTGAATGTGTTTGGTATTTAAAATCTAATTAGGTGTTTTACTTGTATTTTTTTTTATGGGTTGTAAAATATAATTTGGTGCTTTACTTGTATTTTTTGTCATGGCTTGGGATGTAACTTGTAAGAAACAACTAATTTGATAGTTGGATGATGCTTGTGATTGTGATTTAGTTTATAAACTTTAAAAAAGCAGGTTATAGTTGAGTTGAATTTACATGATTTGGGTAAGGAAAAATGAAATAGGCTTTAAGGGATGGCCTGTTTGAAAAATTGGCATTGTGAAAAAAAATAACAAAATTGGGCTTTTGAATAAATAAACTAATTAGGTTTTGGCAATTTTACCTATAAAAAAACAAAAAGATTTTGGCCCAAAAAAAGTGAGTTGGGCTTAAAAAACTAGTGTTGGGCTAAAGCCCAAAACTGACAAAAAAGCCAGAATCGAATCGGAGCCGATCAGGTTGGCCCATTTTCGGTTTTAAGTTTGGACCCGACTCAACCCGAGAACTGATATCCTACTCGGTTCGACCCACCATATCACTCAAAATTGGACCCGACCCGAACCGTGCCCAGGCCTACTTTTCCCAACCATGATTTATGGAATTGCTTAGTTTTGCTCCCTTTTCCTATTTGGTTTATGGATTTTCTATTGTCTTAGTGTTTGTCTTTGGGATTGTAGCATGCCTTGCCTTTAGCCCTGTGTTGTTTGGCGTTTACTGAATCTCCTCTTTACAAAAAAAATAAAATAAAACTGTTATTTGAGTATTTGGTGTTCATATGATTAATCGTTGATTTTATTTAGTCCTATTTATCATATTTTGTTTTTGTATCGTATGGAATTTGGTTTCCCTATTCTTTTACATGAAACTACCATGAAACTTAGCCCCAAATTTTCTATGTTTGTAATTGTGTGAATAGGTTAGGATTTATCATAGTAATGAGTCTTTGAATTTGACCATAGTTTGGTTTGGAGTTGGCGTAATAATAGTGTAAATAGGGTTGGAGTTGGGAACTTGATTTGTTTGTCCACTTTTATATAAAAAAGAAAGTGAATTGGATTGAAATCTTAGACTTGTTTTGTCTTGACTCTCTTATTCCCATTCAGCATTGTATGTGAATAAATAAAAAATGCCAGTTGGGAGGGTGATAGTGGGTGAGAGAGAGAGAGAGAGAGAGAGAGAGAGAGAGAGAGAGGAGAGAGAGAGAGAGAGAGAGAGAGAGACAGGCAGGGACGAACCCACGTTGGAGCAAAGGTGGTCAATTGACCCCTGGAAACCCAAAAAACGCCATGGAAAGCAAAAGGATTGACCCCTGGTCGTGTTTGATGGCTGGGCAAGAGTGCCCAACAACTGCTCGATGAAATGTCTAAATGAAGAAGGCATGGCGGCACCTGCCTTGCTCTCGCATGTTGCCTTGCGTCATCTTATTTGTTTTTGTTTTTTGACCTAGCCTAAACGACACCGTCTAGGACTAGGTCACTTAACTTTATTTTGTTTTATTTTATTATCATGGCCTTTTGGACAGGTTTGAGAAAACAAAAACCCAAAACAGAGCTCTTCCCCATCCCGATAATAACAACCCCACCTAATTAAACTTTTCTTTATTTAATTTAAATAGCATCTAAATTTTCAGTAATCACATTAACTTCTTAATTTTGGTTATTTGGAGTATATCTCCGTATTATTTTTTGGTTGGAGTTTATCTTCCTGTCTTTTTTTTTAATGTTCGAGTATATCTCCCTATCATTGAAACCAAACTAGAGTAGTATTTAACTGCACACAAATAAAAATAATTTTCTTTTTAAGTTTTCTAATTTCCGAAATATGCATATAACAATCTAATAAACATGTTGCTCATAAAAACAATTCTAATAAATTAACATGTTCTCTAAAAAAAAATCTAATAAACATACATATATATACACACACTAAAACTACATGTATGTACTTTTATTGCATTTTCATTCATTTATACGGGTCTTATATATGTAAAAAATTGTGAGTTTATATATGTTGACCCCCGGAGAGAAGATTTCTGGATCCGTCCCTGGACACAGGTTATGTGCTAATGATTCTTTCTATAGTCATTGACCATATAGGTATTGTTATTAGCTAATCCTTTTATTTAATTTATAGCAAAGAGAACAAGTCCAAATTCTAGGCCAACTAAAGAGACACAGGTTCAACAAACAGAGAAACTACAGAATCCTTAAGAAAAATTCCAGCATGAGTGAAGCCATCATCATGCTTGTATATAACTTCAATCGCACGTGCAAGATTCAGAATTCGCAACAATAGGGGCATGGGGAAGACGGTGGGGCGGAGGCAAATTTCGTTTATGTCCTTCCATGCATTGCTCACTTGATTACTTAGTTCGATTGTTGCTTCTTCTTCTGTGGCATCATAATGTTCCATGTAGCATTCCACAGCTGAGGCAACATGTCCTCTCTTTTGTTCAAACTACAGAAACGTAGGCATGAACCTTAATCTCAATCATATTTACTACTTCGTTTAGTGTTATTAATATATAATGCGGAGTAGACCCTACAAGAGTGTCCCTTAATAGAAGCTCACTATGTGTGTATATATCAGTACCTTATGGGACTTCATGTCATCCACGAGCCTCCCAATTACAGATGCAGCCTTTACAATCTTAGGGTCACTAAACACCCAATCCATGGAGTCTTTTGTAACAATATCTCCCATTCCAATGAAGGATATGGTTGCTAGCGGAAAGTAGGATGTGTCAAGGGCTGCTGACATATATTCATCCATTGTTGGTGTGTACTTCTGGTGGAACCATTTGGCTTCTTGGAAGTAACCTCTAACTTGAACTTTCATGTGACAGACCAAGCCAGCCATGTAGTAAATCTTCAATCTATTTTTAACATTATATAGGACAAGAAGATATATTGCACATTTCTATATAATTAATTGTGTATTAGCACGATTATTTTTTCCTTCCCCTTGATTGAGACTAACCGCTTCTCTCGCATAGTGGATGCGATATAAGTTTCCCCTGTTTATAAGCTTTTCTTCAATTTCAGTGTAGAGATCCAACAGTGCTTGATAACAGACTTTCATGTACTCTGGCATATGTTTCATGGCAAATACATCCCACCTGATGATAATCAAAATAATTGTTTGATAACCATTTCATTTTCAAAAAAAAAAAAAAAAAAAAAAAAAAAAAAAAATGAAAAAAATTGTTTGTAACAGATTGGTTAGTTTTTCAGTTTTCAAAATCACCCTTATTTTTTTTTAAATAATTGAAAACTATTTTCACTTTTTGGTCTCCTTTTTCATTCACTAATTTCACATCACCACACATGAAATGCACTCCAGTAACCAAAAATTAGTTTTTGGGACCTCCCAACTTGGACTCGGCCACGGACCAAATCCAAGCCTCGAAACCTCCAAATTCAAAATTCCAAAAAAAATCATCCTAATTCCAAAAAACCAGCAAAAAATATTACAAACGCTTTGTAACATGCACTTTCACTCTCTGATCTCAAATTCACAATTCGATCCCAAAAAATTATATTTCCAAGTTCCACATAAAATTGAAAATAGTTACTAAACAACTTTTGTTTAGTTTTTACCTTTTTTTTTTATAACTAAAATTAGTTACAAAACAAGTTTTAAGTTTTTTAAAAAAATGAAACTGAAAATTGAAAATTGAATATTAAAAACTGAAATGGTTATCAAACGGGCCCTTAGAATATATCAAGGGGTTTGATCAATTTTACCAAACCTATCCATTTATTATGGATTATTGAGTATATAATTAATGATATAATATAAATGTGGTGCCAAATTTTTAACCTCTCAACAGCTTCAGTAAAGAGCTCTAGCTCTTCAAATGTGCCATACGCATCATAAATCATCAAGAATGGCTACAACGGCAATACCTTCGGCCAATGTCATCCGGGCAAAGTAATATTCATGCTCATAGTAGCACCCTGAAGCCCAAAAGTAGGACTGAACTACTCTGTCTCTTGCAAAAGGTAGCTTGTTTAGAAAGTCCAAGTCTTTCCACCACCTGCATAAATTAATCAAGTACATAACCATTTAATTAGCTACTAGACTCAATTTGTTTCGCATGAAGTTGATTGGCGATAATCTATTATTAACTTAGGAATAATAAGGGACATGTCTTGAAGGGCCCTGGGATTATCTCAGAAAAATTACATTGACAGGATACTCAAGAGGTTTAATATGGAGCACTGCTCAAAATGGAGAGTTGCCTATAGGAAAAGGTGATAAGTTGAATAAAGATCAAAGCCCCAAGATTGATCAAGAAGGGAAGGAACAAAGGCCAAACCATATGCTTCACTTCTGGGATGTGATGTATGCACAAGTCTATGTTCTCAATAGGTTTCAAGCAAATCCTGGAGAAGCTCATTGGGTGGCAGCCAAAAAGGTTATAAGGTATTGAAAGAGAACCAGAGCTTTTATGTTAGTATCATCGGGCTGCTCAGATGATAGGAAGTCTACAAGTGGCTATGTTTTTCTCCTAGCAGGAGGTGAAATTTCCTGGAAAAGCGCAAAGCAAACCCTCTATAGAAACTTCTACCATGCAAGCAGAGTTTATAGGCTGCTATGAGGCGACTAGGAAGGTTGTGCTTAAAAATTTCATTGGGCATAGTTGACTCCATAGAAAGAACTTTGAGGATATATTGTGATAATAAAGCAGTTGTTTTCTTTTCAAGGAATAACAGGAGAACTTCAGCCACAAGACTCATGGACATATAAGTTTCTTATTGTAGGGGCTTTTTCTTCCAGCTGTTGTAAATGGCTGGGCTGCCGTAAAAAGCAGATGGATGAAGTTATCTCCTGTGCCTGAGTTCAAAGATCAAATCCCAAAAATGCTTCGAAATGATAGTGAAGCCTTAGGAAACACCTTGGTTACTTTCACCAACAAAAATAACAACAGTTTATAGATAAATTCTTGGCTTGGCATGAGAAGCTTGTGGCATGGGAGCTGAGCATTCATGAGTTTAGCATGAGAGAGAGAGAAATGGCTGCAATTTCCTATGAGAAACAAAGTTTTTAACGCATTGAGGAAGGGATTCTAAGAGGATTCGTTGAGGAGAAAGAGGGGGAGAGAGATGAGGGCAATGAGTGTTTTTCCGGCAGCTGGACAGAGGCTCTGTCAAGTGTTAGAACAACCTGCCAAGAGGGAAAACTAAGGAGGAGGAAGATGAACTAAGCACGGAATTGTTGAGTTTTAGAAGTAAGAGAGGAAGCTTGCTTTCTGGTTGTAGTTGTGGCTAGTGGTGAAGTATTGGGTGTTTTGGGTAATTTTCCAACAGCCTGACAAAAGTTATGTCAGACTCTGGAATGGCTTGCCATAAGAGAAAATGGGAGAAGATGAAGGAATAGGGCATGAAATTGCAGAGTTTCATTGATGAGAGATGAAGGTTGCTCTCTAGATGTGGTTTTTTTTTGTGATGGGTAGGAAATGCATGTTTTTATAGGCGAAAGAAGCTACTCTTTTCCAAGAAACCCTAATGGTTTCTATCTAATTTGGCCAAGTCTTTCCCTTTCTTTCTCCCTTCATCCCTTTAATCATCCTATTTTGGTGAAATCCACTTTGCCCATTTGCACAAAATCAAGGATTTTTGGGAGCTTAATGCTCTTCCCGCAGCCACTATTTTCAGCCATCTTTCCTCCTTCTTTTCTCTCCTCTTCTATGGCTAGATCTTATGGGGGGAAAAGAAATGGGTATGTACATTGGTTTGAAGGGTGTTTTGCTCAAGTATCCTTTGGTTTTTTTGGATGGCTTGTGTTAGGATTTGTCTTTGGCCATGTGCTGGAGATTCCTAATAGCCTGCAGATGTGAGTGGCCTTTAGCTTTGGTTGTGGTCTTATCTCTAGTTAAGTGCTGGAAGCTGCAGATATTTTCCTTGGTTGCTTGGACTTTTCTTAAAGATAATGGGCTAGTTCACTAAAGGGATGGGCCAACTTCCCAAAGTGATGGGCTATATTTTCTAAAGTAATGGGTTATTTTCTCTCCTTTATGCTTACCCACATATTTGGGTTCAAGAAATGGGCTTGAGTTTCAGGGCTCTCAAGTAGCCCAAAACTTCCATTTCTCGACTCATCAATGGGCCTCATGAAAACTTGTAATCATCCATACCACAACCCGCTCAGTAAGTCACAGGCATTCGCGTGGCTTGGGCTCACTTAAGCTTGTAGCGTGACGTATTGCTTATTTGCTTGGCATGGCACTTGTGCAAGCGCATATGATGAACTCTTGCGTACCCAAATTGTGTTTCTTCCCAAGTTAGGTATCGTACTGGCTTGGGAATTTATTCGGGCCTAACCATAGATTTTTTGGGCCTCAACACTTATGGTTCAAGATGAAGTCAAAAAAAAGTTTTCTAATGAAATATCTTTTGATTAAAAAAAAAAAAATTGAAGTCAAAAAGTCAGTCATTAATATTGTACATATTGACACTCAATCTATGGTGGCAGATCCTATGACAAGGGGTTTAACAGGGAGTGGTCAGGGGCTGGTTTCTCAAATGAGAATACATGAGTCTTTCGATTAAGTTGATCAGTGGGATTATATTCATAGAAATAACCTTGGAAGTATTCACCATTGGGTCAAGACGTTGCTTATTAAGAAATTGGTTGTGATCTTGAGTGCTAGCTGACATATTGTTTAGGATGTAATCTTACATGTTTGACTTCTTCAACAAATCATATAGGTACCTAAATACGAAATAGAGTTAGTCATCAATGTTCTGAATTTGAATTGTGAAATGAACTAGCAATCATATAAATTTGTTTGTTACCTCATGTATGTAGCTACAACAGTGGATTCAATTTTTGTCATGGCACCAATATGTAAAATATCTTCATGCAGGCCGTGGGTATCACGACTTTGGACTTTAGCGTCCTCAGTTCTACTAACAAAGTTAAAATGTTTCCCTTCCTAATAGATGATTTCCCTTAATCCAATTATACTTTCAGGTTTGACATTTTCCCTCTAGTTTCAAAAGGTCGTAGGATACAGCCGAAAAATAATAATAGATCTAACTCCAACTGATTTAGCTTTCTCCAATATCCTACTTAACTTCATGAATATGTATATATCCACCAACTTCAGATAATATTCTAATTATTCCCATAAAAAAAACACTTAATATGTTTTAACAATGGAGAACTAAGTTAAAATGGCACATATAATACTTGAGCTCGCTTTACTTACAATGGCAAGAACTCACGTTCATTTATTATTACCAAGCATCTAGAATGGATGAAGATTCGAGTGATTGGTCATAGTCAGGCAGGAAGAATGCATATGAGTCATGCGAATCTTGCAAAATAATTCATAACCCCGACGTTTTTTTTTCTTCAATTAGAATTATCTAGAACATTCCTGATTGAAAATAGCTAGGTACTAACAGTGAAATGGTTGGGCCAGGTTGTTTGCCCTCGGTGTAATTTTTCTGAGTTTCAATAAAGTTTCCTTCGTACTTATGAGGTTCTCTAAAAAAATTAATAAATATTGGCCATAATCTTTTCCTTCATGGCTAGATTCGATTACAAGAACTTTCAAATGGAATTTTGGATTATGATTTAGAAAAAAATAGTACGGGTGGGGGAAAGAGAGAGTCCATAGACACACTTCGACCTGAAATTGTTGTGGTTGTTCCTATAAAATTTGAGAAAGGCTATAGGTCTTCCTTTTTAAAAAATTTGGATACATAGTTTTTATTTCAGAAATTGGATGTAGAATTAATGTAAATGATCAGAGAAATGAGAATTAGATAATAAAACTAAAAAAGAATACTCATGTTTGTGATGTATATTCTTTTATTATCAACGAGGTCGAGGGAATTCAAACTTACAACATTTTCTAACATTAAAAAAAAATGTATCACTAAATTAAAAGTTTTTTCGTTATATCACTAAATTAAGAGTTAGTTGACAGAAAATTACTCATAACGTACAAATTGCTCAAATAGTAACCTTTAAGCAGCATTACTTAAACAGAAAAAGTGTGACACTAAATTCCTTTTGCTCATTACCTCTATTTCCCTGTTCAGTTTATTTTCAAAATTGCTAAATGTGCTTCATCATGCCCCCATCAATCTGAGACATCCAGTCACAACCACCATTCATTGATCCATCAGCCACGTGGCATGGGCCCCATACAAACACTCAATCTATATGTGCCACACAGTGAAAATAATTTTCCCAACAAAACGAAGGGCTTGTTGTAAGTTGTGATGCGATGCCCCAAGATAAAATGTGGATAGAAAGATATGAGTTGGAGATGCTTAAAAATCCTTTGAAGCCTTCTCATTGGTTGATTCAAACCCTCAGAATCCCCACCATAATTTCCCCCTCCTCCATTTTCAGCCACCCATCTGTGCATAATATTGCACACAGCAGCTTCCCTTTCTACACACTTCCAAGCTGCAACACAAATCTTATTAACTTATCAGAAGACAAAGTCAACTGAATTTCCTGAAAAGCTTGAAAGTCATGGCATCTACACTAATGGCAGCAACTGCTAGCTCCAGCACTCTTCTTAGACCAACCCCATTTCTTGGCCAAACCAGAGGGCCAAGTTTCAACACTCTTAGAGATGTTGCCCCAATGGGAACTGGGAAATACACCATGGTATGCATGTTTTCCAAGTTTCCAACTATCTTTGTAATTGGTTTGAGTTTGTGTTTATTCATTGGGTGGCGAAAGGCTAATTTATGGGTGTCAACTTCTAACTTGTTGGTGACATGAACAGGGAAATGAGTTGTGGTATGGCCCAGATAGAGTGAAGTATTTGGGACCCTTTTCTGCTCAGACTCCTTCGTACCTCACCGGAGAATTTCCCGGTGATTACGGATGGGACACTGCAGGGTTATCAGCTGACCCAGAGGCCTTTGCTAAGAACAGGGCTCTTGAGGTAAGTTCAACAGTTCTACCATTATTTCTTAATCTCATCTTGCTTTGACAACTACCCAAATGACCCAAGTGCTTGCAAAAGATTAAGAATGAATTAATGAAACAAGAAAAGGATGTTCAACAAAAATGACTTCGAAGTCTTCTGTTAGATGAGCATGATGAAAAGCGAATGTGCGGTTTTGATTCACAATCTGTCAATATTTCCAAGATCTAGCAAGAGACCCTTACCTCATATATATATATATAATTTGGATTATGTGGTGGTAGCAGGAATTCAATTTTTTTAGTGACGGTACTTTATTAATGCTGTGCAACTTAATTTAGGTGATCCACGGCCGGTGGGCTATGCTTGGAGCACTAGGCTGCATCACCCCAGAGGTGCTTGAAAAATGGGTTAGAGTGGACTTCAAAGAGCCAGTGTGGTTCAAAGCCGGAGCTCAAATTTTCTCAGAAGGTGGCCTTGACTATTTAGGCAACCCCAACCTTGTCCATGCTCAGAGCATCCTAGCAGTGCTAGGATTCCAAGTCATTCTCATGGGGCTTGTTGAGGGATTTCGCATCAACGGTCTTGACGGCGTAGGAGAGGGCAACAACCTCTACCCTGGAGGGCAATACTTCGACCCTCTCGGCCTTGCCGATGACCCTGTCACATTTGCTGAGCTCAAGGTCAAGGAAATCAAGAATGGGAGACTAGCCATGTTCTCCATGTTTGGCTTCTTTGTCCAAGCCATTGTCACTGGGAAGGGTCCTCTTGAGAACCTCTTGGACCACCTTGACAACCCTGTGGCCAACAATGCATGGGTCTATGCCACCAAGTTTGTGCCTGGGTCATAAATTAATCTTCAGTCCTCCAATTGATTGATCTTGTTTGGGAGAATGTAATTGAATGGATTTTATGTAGATGTTAATATAGTCGCTGTTTTAATATTGGTCACTTCTTAAGAAATTCACATTGCGTATCGGCTTGAGAACGTGACCTGAAATCTTCTGACATTTGCTTTAAACATGGAGCAAACTTAATCAAAAATTCATAATGTTATTATCTCCAACATAAGAATGCAGCTAGTGCTCCGGTGTCATCGGCATTGCCCACTTTTTCTTATCTCTAGATTCCAAAATGACTTAACTTGAGGCATGCTGAACATCAAATTGGGAGGGCTAAACTATAAAAGCTAATTGTGAAAGATGAGCACCCACACTAGGTTTACTAATCTATTTGACGGTAATCCTCATTACACTCGACTATGATTCACCAGGCAACTGCATTCGTAAATTTCCATCCATTCCGACCGAAATAACCCCTTCACATTAGAGACACGTGCTTACTTCATTACAAAATATGAATTGCGATGGATATCAAATTACATGAGTCAAATCACCATAACTGAAACTAAATTATTAAAGTGGAAAATCTGGCAAATTGCACAGACCAAAAGTGACTCTCTGTCAAAAAAATAATAATAATTCAAATTTTAAAAAACAGAAAATAAAGTGTTGCAGTCTCCCCACGCTAAAAAGGACCTTATTACAGAATAATTCTACAATTCTATATGTAATCTGTCTGTAGAAGGAAAAGAATATCTATTTATATATATATGTGTGTGTGTGTGTGTGTGTGTGTGTGTGTTTCTGTGTGTTTGTGTGTGTGGGAAGATAAAGTACTAACCACTTCATACACGAGGCAATATGAACTTTTCTCTTCCATATCTTCAGTAACAAGATCTACATGGTAGGGCGTTAAACCAGTACCGACAGATTATACACAAATTACCTAAGCTATTTAAAGAAGAAATAGCGGCTGAAAACACATAACAATTTCCCTAACTGGCTATTCACATAATTATCCTTATTTCCACCAAGTCACAAAATTGGTAGATATACAAATTTCTCTCCCTAAACTGCCCCACACCAAGGATTCATCGATATGTGATGCCACATGCATAAACAAGGGAGCAGCTGCTGAAGAAGGAGAGGTCATGTACTGAGAAAATTACTTTCTCCAATCATCCTCTAAGATGCTACGATTCACTGATACTAGGATGCTCTTGAGCTTATCTTTCCCCACCATTTCCTACTACGCCTTTTTTCCTCTTCTGAATGCCAAAGTTTATGAACCTTTGTCTTTGTCTCCCGTAATCTTGCCTTGTACTCTTTCTTCCATGACTCAAATCGGTGTTTAAGTTTTCGTAGCTCTTCCTCAGGATTCATATTTACACCTGAATGCCCAGGTTTTACCTCCACTAGAGCTTTCGCATCATCATCAAAATGCTGTTTCCGCTGCTCAAATTCCTTCATCAGATTGCTGACTGCATGCAAAGTACCGTTAGTCTCACGCCCTCCTCCATTGATGGGTGTGCTTGCACCAGGAGTTCGAGATCCCATGGACAAGGCTTCTTCAGAATCATAGCGAGGTGATGAAGCAACAACTAGTCTTCCAGGTTGACCAGCAGTACTGTCAGAAGCAAGACTCTTTCGGGCTGCAGCAAGACTCGTCTGCATAAAATCATCACAGGTATGCCTCTCAGTCTCAATAACCTTTCACGTATCTGCTGGTGTTCCTATCTTATTTTACTTTATTGTTGGATTTGTTGGAGAGCTGACCACATACTCGATAACTAATTCTCAATAACCTTACTTTACACATAATGGTCAATTGAATTTTATATTCAATAAAAGGAACCATCCATTTTTTTCATAGGAGACAGAATATACATATAGGGTGAATTATATGCAAGTGTGCCTCTTTGCATGTGAAGATGCATGTGTATGAGTGTGCATGCACATTGGCTGTGGTGAAGTAAATGATCCCAAAAGCTTAGGACTAAGGTGTGGACGATGCCATCAAGCTCAACTCAAGCACATAAACCAACAATTTGTTTCTTCTAAGTAGACATAAACCTTGGCTGCCTGTTCGACTCATTTCACTTCCCTTTTAGTTCAAAAAGCACAATATGTTTTGTGCATACTTTTTGAAACTGAGATTAAGCATACACAAGCAAACTTACTTGTAAAGACGCCATCTGCTTTTGCCACACGTCCTGCATAGATTTCATCTTTGCATCATATTCTGACCATCTTGTCTCAAACTGTCGTAGTTGCCCCTGCAATTCAGCATTTTCCTCTTCCTTTCGCTCCAGAGTTGCTTCAGCCTGAAGCACCCGCCTTTGAAGCTCTGCCAAATCTGATGGCAAATCCTGCTCGGCAAAGATATTCCACTGTCAGTTATTCTGAGATGAAACCTCAGACATATAACAGAGTAATTTCAATAACAAAACCTTCAAATGGTAATATTTACCAGGATGCATGAGTATTTATTGCAATTTCTCAGTTTTAAGTGTAAATATATCTCCGTCTCAAAAGAATATTCTTTACAGAAAGCAGATATTCGCAATACGTAAATTTTGGAGCCTTGGTGACAGTCTTATATACAGCATGCCACCTTAAAATTTCATAAGCAAGGGCAATAAAGTTTGTCTAAAAATACTGTTAAAACCTTAATGGAAAAGACATTTTATTTCAAATTGAAAACTCGAGCATAAAGCTAATCCAGTGCTTTTGAAAACTCAATATTAAAGTTAATGGACATGCTCTTGGTTATATCAGATAAAGTTAGATTTCTTATACGGTTCTGTACAAGTATTGAATAGATTTTTAGACAACCAAGTTAAAAGGGGTTAAGATCTTCACATAAGGAGAACCCTCCAATTCCAAATACCCCAGCGAAAAATTTCAAAGTGAAGTAAGTGGTTGAAACAAAAAACCCTTTGATAAAAAAAAGGGAGAGAATGAAACCAAGGGCACAACAAAAGAACCATTGAGAATAGAACTAGATTGAAGAGTTCCATTGGCTAGCCTCATGGATTGTTAAGCCTATCCCATGGAACTCTTGAAGATCTCCAAATAAGGAAAAATCTACAATTTCAAACACCCAAGCAAGAAGTTTTGAAGCGAAAAAAGTGGTTGAAGAAAAAAAACAGAAAGAAAAGAAGAAAAGGAAACCAAGTCTCAATACAAGAAAACCATTGAAACTGGGAATTAAAGAGCTCCATTGGATAGGCTCATGGAACAGAGATTAGTCATGAGGCAAACAGAAGAGCAGTATACTCTAGCAAGTAGCAAGTAGCAAGTAGCAAGTAATTACTTTATCGGGAGTACCTTCACTTCTGAATTCTTCCTGCCAGCCTTTTGTTTAAATTTCGCATTCTCAGGATGTAACTTCTTTGAGTTTTGCGGGTCATCAAGAGTTTCACGTGCACCAGCTCTCCTTCCAGCTTTTTCACCAAGAACATCTGCATCTTAAAAGTAGCTTCCATTAAAACTAAAATGTACTAAATAGAGATTGTTCCTCAATATAAATGAATCAGACAAAAAATGGAGTTTAAGCCACAAATTCAAGTGTGCAAGACTTCACAACATAAAAGGCAGTGCAAGGTTCCTGAAGAGAGTGCAAAATTTGTATCCAACCAGGGTTTTGTTTTTCAAAAGAAATATCCAATTGTACTCGACAGTGCTACAATGTATGATCATAAACCAGTTAAGTATCCTAACCAAATGGAACTAGAAAAATAGTAAGCATTACTTGATTGTAACGTTGTGGTTTATTCCATAATAAAACCAGTTCAGTATCCTAACCTTCCTTAAGTTGATGGAAATGGTGACGAGCCTGATTACCACGGAAGTATTTTTGAATACCAATTATTCCTTGCAGAACTTGCTTTCTCTTATCCTCCAATAAAGCAATCTGTGAACAACCAGACTCAACAGCATTAGGAAAACCATCAGACGAAATAAACTTAAATAAACCAGAAAGAGATGTATTAAGTCACTGCTATAAAACTCTTTGGAAAAAAAAGGGGCAAATACAGGCTTTCATAAAACAGAAGTCAATAAGAGAAAACTTATCATGAGCTAAGTGGATAGAAATGAAGAGAAAAACTGAAAACTATTACAGGAGCTTACCTGCCCTGTTCGAAGATACACTTTTGTATAGCCAATTTGATACATTTCAGGAAGGACATTGAATTGTTTTAGAACAGCAATGGATAGACTTAATGGATCCTGAGGTACGCCAGCCCCCAAAAGTAGAAAACCATACCTAAAATGAACAGACACAAGAAAAGATAACTCAGCAGTTGTGAAAACCAAAAACAACTAAAAAGCATAAACTAGGGTTCACTTTATACAAACCTTCCTGCAAACTCTTGATGTGTCATTCTAGTAGGATATCCAGATCGTGTTATCCTGACAACCTCCAAAATTCCACAACACCTAAGTTGTTGTAAAACAAGGTCTACTTCGTACACACCGGGAAGCTGCTTACTGTTTGGCTTTATGCAGCGAATGAAGTGAGGTCTGCTGCCCTCCAAATGGTGCATTAGTTTAAATAATTGAGCCTACAAGAATGCATGATAATTTTAAAATTTTGAAAAACTCAATTGGCTATGCCTCAGAATACCAATTTCAAAGAAAATTTGAAAATTAAAGGTGAATAAATAAGATCATCCAAAATCATCTCATAAGTCACATCTTAATCAGATTAAATTCATAATTTTGGCATCTGATCTAGACATACGAGAGCTACTCATATATCCAGCTCAAAGTTGTGCAAGCATGTGTACCTTGAACTTAATACCAGTGCTTGGTTTTGGAGGATCCAATGAATTTATCTGGCACGAAGTATTTTCAGGTTTCTGGAACTGCTTAACCACTTTGGAGGCAAACAACTGCAGAAGTTGGCAACTGCATGATGATAGGAGTTGGATGGAAACTGAGGGCAAAGGATCTCTGTTCTTTTCGAGGAAGCCACTTGTGTCATATAGAACCTAAAAAAAACTCAAAATGTTAATGAAATTATAACACATCATGAAATCATAACCATTTGTATAAATGTAAAGGTCCTCAAACTTGCATAAATCTATACAGGCCTCTGAAAACATTGAGTTTTTCTGTAGCTAGCATGCTATACTATTTCTACCCCACTGTGGGATGACGAAAAGAGATATCTGCACCAATGAATTCAAAAACGTTGTCAAGGTGCCCCTGAGGCACATATTGAGGCAGTGCAGCAGAGAAATGCAGGCGGGTTTTTTCCCAAAGCTCTAAGGCCAAACGTGACAATACCAAAATGAGTAGAATAATTCATTAAGTTGGCTTGTATGTATCTAATAGTAAAAGTTAAGTCATCAGAAAACCAAAGTTTGTGAACATGCTCAAGCAAAAACTAACCTCTCCAGCATGATGACGAATACTGAAAGCTCTGCCTCTTTCTGCTTTAAAGCAAGAATTAGCATTCAAGTGTTGCTTAAATTTATCAGCAAGAGTCAAATCATTTGCCTTGGAGAAGTTTGACTCCACATCCAACAAAGATAGTAGCCCTAAAGGTCTCTGCACACAACACAGAAAAGAGTGGCATTAACTATAAAGGCAAATACTTTGGTAATTTGATGAGAAACAAATAAAGAGAGAAGAGAAGATTAATAGCACCAAACTCAGACAAATTACTTTTATAGCTATCATGCAATGTAAAATTCTTCCATGATATAGTAAAGCATTTAAATTAAGGTAAACTAAATTTGTAAAGAACGCCCATACTCTAATTGTCACAAATTTTACAAGTAGAAGTGTACTACAGTGGAGAAGAATCTAATTAACTCCTGATTGAAAATTAGCAAGTCAATGATGTAGAAGGCTTTAATCAATGAAATACCTTCTCAAAGAGATTCAAGCACTCTTGGTTGTCTTCAAAATCCACTTTAGTCCAATCAATCCCATCCAGTTCATACTCCTGCAGTAGAAGGAATAAACAATCACATTACTATTCATGCGTTTAATCATAACATCTAGTTTGACAAGATCATTTTAATGAAGATTTTTTATAAGCTGCTTTGACACCAAGCGATCCTAAAGCTACATTACATTTGAGATGCTCACCTCCTGCTCAAGCTTAAATAAATGCCGGTTGAAATGTTGTTGCAGCCTCTCATTTGCATAATTAATGCACATTTGTTCAAAGCTGTTCTTCTGGAAAAAAAAGAAAAAAAAAAAGGAAGGCATTATGATCATTACTGAATATACAGATCTTATCAAAAATATCACCAAAAATGAAATAAATGTCTATACCTGAAATGACTCAAACCCGTAAATATCAAGTATACTGATGGATCTCCCAGAATGGCATTTTCCCACTGCAAGTGACTTGTTAATTTGTTCTACAAGCCAGTCAAACAAGCTCGCATAGATAAATTTTGCCCATGCATCCCTTGCATCAATTGCCTGAATAAATAGAGAGGGGAAAAAAACCTTCAACTTACATTAAAAAAGTGCATTTAAAAGATGTCAGCCAGGACTCGAGGATGAAGAGATAAATTGTTGCGCAACTTAACAAACCTGTTGCAATGTCAATCTTTTGTCAATACTAGCATTGGCACCATGGATTTCATGGATGGATAAAGCTAGCATCAGATCCTGGGAACTACAACCCATCAGCATGGCAGCATTGGTTAAAGCTGCCAAAGGGAAATATGAAGAGAAGTTACTTATATGGAGACAACTATTCACATCCTCAAGTGTAAGTTTGAAAATAATATATGTTTGACTTCACAGAACAAACACACACTAAGACAGAAGATAGTTATTTCAAGGAACAACAAATGGACCTTAACAACAAAACTTCTGACAACAATGGGAAAGACGCAATTTTGAAGGTCTGTTTAAATAAAGAAGTTAAAATGCAGTGCTTTCAAATCCCATTATTTGTAAACTGTAGTTTGGATAACCACATTTAGATTGACTGAAGGAAGCTACCATCAAATCATACCATAACGCAAAGCCCCATGGCTTAAGACTTCCATTGACACATCAAACCTATTACTTCCACATATATGTGCCCAACATTCTAGCACTATTTGACAATATCACTATGCAGTAATAGACCTCAAAATGTCATTATAGTGATCCAGTTTAATACCAAAGTAAAAAACCTTGGTTGTTACAACTTTCACCAAAAATTCAAGGCTGGCAATGCAACTGCCTTAGAACCAGCATCAGGTGCAAAATACCCATGGAAAGATCACCAAGGGAATCACATATATCTTACCTTCATCAGCCAACACTTCCACATGATTTTCATTCTCAGTTGCTTGAAATGATATGTTTCCCAGCCATAATACTGCAGCCAGCATTGAAAAAACATGTTCTTGATCTTTCTTAGAAACTCGAACAATGTCTAGTGCTTCCTGGGAAAATGCAAAAACAATAAAATAAGGGCAAAAGTGATAATGTACATTGACTGAATCAATGGTAATAGTAACAACTATCACTTTAGTTACCATAAGCATATGAAACTTCTCTGCATCATCTACACCATCAATTGCCAAGCAATTACTCTGATTAAGATACTTGTACTCACTAGCCCTTTTAAGTTTTAGCTTCTCTGCAACCAAAAACATAGAATGATTCCCAGTAAATGTGAATCAAACTGACATGTATAGACAAAGTTCACAGTAGAATGGACAGCATACTGTTGAAGGTTCTAATTTATTAGAAAACAAAAATGGAAATGGTTGTCATAAAACTTGTATAGTATATGACCCCTTTTGAAAGGTTTCCATGCCAGCTTTTGAAACACAAGCGAGGGCCATTATCAATCACTGATCACTGCTAAACTACTGTATAAACCAAGTTCTAAAAAACAATCAAGAAGACTGGAACAAGTCAACTCAATACTTCTAATACGTGGCTCAATTGCCCGAGGGCGAGGAGACAAATTTACTTGTACCAAAAGTAAGCTCTATTGGTTCAGGTCTAGCTAATTTGTTAAATCACATAAAACTTTCACCCTAGGGGACATATTGACTTGTCCCAAAAATGAAATAACGTCTATTGGTTCAGGTCTAGCTAATTTGTCTAATCACATATAACTCCTGTAGTCTAACTTCCTGTAATATTTGATGAGGAAAATTAGTGATTATAGTGTGTCCAAAACATTATTTATTTATTTTTTTTATTTTTTTTATTTTCTTATAAAAAGAATTGAACCTAAGATCTACTCTTCACTTGATCTCACTTCATGTACTTATGCTAAGGAAACAAAATTACCAGCAATATAGAGACTCCCAAACTTATGATGTGACAATTTCCTAATCACAAGAAGTCTAAGGATCCAATGAAAAGCACGTGAATTTAGAAAAAGGTTCAGAGGTTTGGCTGAGGTCTGCTATTTTGCCACAACGCACCCATATGGTGAAAAACACAACAAGAATTGATGATTAGAAAATAACTTCCCTACCTTTAAGCATTGATGGAGCGCCAGCACAGAGTTGATAAAAGATATGGTACGACCTCTCACCATCTTCCAATCGAGCGACTCTTGACTGCTCAAAGGAGACATTATAATTTCAGATAAGGCACATTGAGATTACTTAAGTTCATATGGAGCAACCAATTACCTTATCCAAAAAAACTGTTCACAATCATTAAAGGCGCATTGGTGTTGACATGTACATGCGTTGGTAAAAACAAGTCAGTTACTATGATTGAATTGATAGTCATGTAATAGTATACGGAAACAGCAATTTATTCAATTTAAACAGCTTACATGTTTCGATTTCGGCACCACATATTTTTCCCAGTGTGCTAAAATGAATTTCAATCAACTTCCCCTGCAGCAAATTAGAAATAATGTTACCGAAACTGCATATCCTTCAGACCTCATTTATGAAATGGGAGAAAAGAGACCAGCTACCATTGAGAAAATAAATGACCAAGTCCAAACAATAAAGTTCAATAACAAGAAAAACGTAGGACCACTGCCTGGAAACACAAAAGAAAGAAAGGAACTCACAAATCGGCTGGCATTGTCATTTCTGGATGTTTTGGCATTTCCAAACGCCTCCAGTATACAGCTGGTCTGAAGGATTGCATGCTCTATGCCACAACTGCCACCACCAAGAGCAGCCAAGTATTGCATTGCAATTTTTGCTGTCTCAGTTTTCCCAGCTCCACTTTCCCCACTGTAAGAGAAAATTTAATGACTCTTTACTTGAGACTACATTGTGATTTTAATCGAACTATAATAATGATCTTCATGATCTCATACAGGATAACACTGTACACAAACCATAACCACAAACAAGCTTCTATTAAAAGAAAAACTAGAACTGAAAAGACTCTAACCTTATGATTATGGACTGATTTACATCATCTGCAAAATATTACAGCCAGGAAAATGGTAAACACCAGTTACAGACACAAGTTAAACAATGCCACCAGAGAAGGAAACTTTCAACACAATGGAAAATATATAAATAAAATTTGTCATGCACCTCTTATCATCTCATTATAAGCACTATCTGCTATGGCATAAACATGAGGTTTGTCTGCTAGTTTCTGCCTGTAAGCTGTGACAAAATCATCTCCATAAATTTGGACATCTTTGAAAGGATTGATTGCAATCAAAACTGGCCCTGCTTTGCTCTACAGAAAGAAAACATGAGAACTGTAAAAGGAGAGACATAAATCTGACTGGAAAGCACAAGCAACAAGAAAATGTGATACTTACATAAATCACGTCCTGAGAATATCTACTTTGAAGATTGTAAAGAACGGAAGGCTCATTCAAATAACTAAGCTGCATAAGATCATCCACGCCTTCCAGAACATCTGGGTTTGCAGGTAAGAGCTCAACTCTGCACACCTTGATTACCTACAGTAACAGAACAAGGGCATACACAACAGTTGTAAAATAAAAAATAAAAAAGTGCCAACAGTTTTACAAGAAGCTTATAAAAGTCAATACGGATTTGGGGTGAGGCCAAAAACTGATGAACTTACATTTCCATCAGAAAGCGAAACAATTGCCTCGTCCCCTGAAGTTGACTGTATTGTTCCTAACTCCCACAGCCCACTGCGTAGCCGACACCAAACATGAAGTTTCTGAAACAAAATACATGCAACATAAATTCAAGTGTCGCATATAAAATTCCTAAGTTTAAAGAACAAACTTACAAAACTTCCACAGATCATATCATACAAAAATTATATTTTCTTAAGGACGAATAAATTGAATGCAGATTTAAAGCGTCAAATGGATCATACAGTTGGGCGGGAACCTTAGACCTCCGATATTACAGTATAGATGTTCATCATAACTAAAATTCAAATTCTCGTGAATCATCGCAATCAAATAAGACAAAACTAAATAGCTTCAAGACCCAAAACATATCTAAGAGTAAAGAAACATATCTAACACTGGAAAGTTCAGTCAAGACACAAAGGTAATATCTAAGAGTAAAGAAACATAAAAACAAAACTAGATCAGTGAATGAACTGTCACCCTCCAAAATTACCTTATTGATGAAATAACCAATGTTGTCATCCCAATCCGACTTTCCAATCTTCTCTGGCCGAATTTGACACTCCTCCGGTGCTCCATCGTACGGAGACTCAACATTCTGATCTTTATCCATCCTCTTGACACCAAAATGACCTGCCTTGAACCCTGAATCTCTCTCTTTCCTCTTGTTCAGACTAGACAAACACTCTGGCGACCCCTCTGCGTCTTCGACCTTGAAGTTGTTGGGCAAAGACCGGCGCGCTGACGGCAGCCGTGCCTTGGAAGTGGGCCGAGCTGGCAATGCCGGCGGCAATTCCTTTGGCTTCTCGCCCTCATCTCTTCGCCGAAGCGAATCCAACATTTCCTCTAACGAGCTCCTCGCTATCAACGACGGAGACGCCGATACCATCATTTTCACAACAAAAAGCTAGGGATTCAGTCTATGCAGACCCACCCTCTCCCCAAAATTCACCGAAATTCACACCTCAAATTCTCAATTCAACCTCTCAGACTTGGACTCCGAGCCAATTCAAAACCAGCATTGCATTGCGAAAAACAAAAGACAAAGAACCCAAAAACCCTAAGATCGAAGTGTCCGAAAATCCCGGTCCAATTCTTCAAAATCTATCATGAAACTGAAAGGTCAAAACCCAAAAACAAACGAAAGCGAAAGCTGAATTGGGAATTGTACGGACGGCGAGCTAAGGATATGAAATGCGCTCTCTTTTTCTTGTTACGGGGAAAAGCAAATCGAGAAGGAAAAAAAAACAACTCCCAAAACTGGGTTTGCTAAATCGAGGGGTTTACGATTGGGGATTCTGATACTGAAAGCGTGAGTTACGAGGTTTTGGTAGAGATATGACGGAGAAGAAGAAGGAGGAGGAGGAGTATAAATTGGAGGTTACGTTTGTTGAGGAAACAAACCTCTTTTCGAAAAAGAGAAGGTAGGGAGAGAGAGGAAGACGAAGAATTGGAAAATAAAGAAGGAAACGAAAAGCTGTTCTTGTATGTTTTCTGAAACAGAAGAAGGCTGTTTCGGTTGAGTTTGTTTTTTCATTTTCTGTTTTCAAAAGCACGAATTGGAACCACCTGGAGTTGGAGCGTGGGAAGATATATAAAATAATATATAAATAAATAAATAATAAAACAAATATATGAATATAATTTATGATAAATATATTTGTTGATATGTTGTTGCTTTAAAGCATTGTTTTCTTTTCTTTTCTTTTTTTTTTCTTTTTTCTCTTGCTTGAATTTAAATTTTTTCTGTTTTCAGAGAGCCGTTTGGATCCGATAAGGATTAAAAAATTTATATTAAAAAAAGGCCAACTTTTGAAATCCATGGGGCCTACTAACCTTTTAGGTGTGACGAGCTACAGTGATAGTTGTTAACGGGGTTTTGGATTTGGACGGGGATTTTCAAGAAATTACAATAATAGCACCCTATATTTGGGTTGGTCAGTTCTTTTTCGTTACCTAAATTCTTTTGGATTGGGAGTGGTCAATTTTCTATTTACGCACGATTTGCTTATCACCCCCAACAAACTTGAAAATGTCAATATTACCATTTATTTATTTAAATTTCTATATTTTATAAATACTTCCTTACAATGGTTGACTACTTTTTTCTATTTTTTATATTTATTTAGAAGTTTTAAGGAAAAAAATTAATAGGTATTTAGGTAAAATTAGAAATTTCTAGATTTTTTTTCTCTTTTTGAGTAACAACTTCATCAAAAGAAAATACATCGGTTACTAAGGAGATAGACATTTCTTAAAACGGTATGTTATAAGTAAGCTCATTGTAAATCGAAGCATTTATTTGAATTCTTAGGTTAAATTCCTTATGTAACCTTTTAGCCTTCTAGAGTTACTAGTGATTTTGGAAATTTGGATGAACCTTTTTATAAAATTTCTTTAGGGAGCTAAGTATAATTTGAGGTGAAAGACATATTAGGACAAAGTAGTAGGTGAAATACTATTTTGCACATGTATTAGGTGAATGACTCAAAACCCTAAGTATAATATTAATACACTGCCATTTGTTTTTAATAAACAAATGCACTCTCAATTTCTTTTTGGGTAAAATAGACAGTCAACATACTCAAATCAGGACATTTTCAAATCTAATTGGACCACACTTCACAAACTTTAGCAAATAATTCAAAAAAAAAAATATATATATATATATATATATAAACTAAAATAATGGTGGACCAGATAGCAAAACTTCATTCTGGTCCCCCAACAATAATAAGCATAATGCATATCCTTTCCTTTAAGTATGAGCCATCAAAATACTCTTTCCATTTTCAAACAAAAAAAAAAAGTACTCTTTGCATTATTAGACAATGGACAAGATGAAAATATTTTTGTTACTTAATCCATTGTTTGTATATACTTGCTTAGAATATTTAGTAAATCACTTCCAAAGTAACCGAAGAAATCTTTCACTTAAATAAATACCGAAACAAGCAAAAGGTTCATATTTTGGTTCACATATCAAAATCAAAGTAACCTTTTTTTAGCTAAAGTAACGGAAGAAATCTTTTAATTTAAGTAGCACCAAAAGAAGCAGAAAGTTCCATCTTAATTCATACATCACATCGCCGTTAATAATTTAATTTTCTTTTATCGTTCAACATTTATCGTAAAGAAGTTTTTAGCTGTTAAACTTAAAAGTACTTATCCATGTGTTTGAATTCTAAGTTTAATTTCCTTCTCGTCTAGATATCGCTTGTGTCCCTTAGCTTTTATCGTTATTTGGTAAAAGAAAAAAGCTAACCAACCATCATAAAAATCCAAAAGGACTGCTATCTAGTGAATTTAGATTCTGTATTTAAAGTTTTCACATGAAAGAATAAGATGAGTGATTATCCACAAAAGGGTAGATGAGTAATTTGAAGGTAGCAAGTCAGACATGAATGAATTCATAATTTAAATGGAGGAGAAGAAAACTAATCATAACGGTAACGTGGCCCGCGCTAATTAGGGCAGAAAGCGGCAAAAGGAAACTGATAAAAGTCAATAAATAAACAAGTTGCAACAACTGTCTGTGGCCCAACAAACAAACTCCACCTTACCCCCTCGGGGATTTTGGAACTTAATGCTCGTTGCTTTCCCTTTTTAAATTGCCAAATCCTTTTCCTATATCATGTTGTTGCTACATCAATCTAATTTGTGACCCCATTTGGTTGAATTCGGAGTCATGCTATTAGTTTGAATTGTGAGAGTCTTGGTATTAGGTTGAAGAGCTACAAGTAATCTAACGTTCTACTATTCCTTTTTTCAACCAAACATGAAGAGCGAAGAGTCGAATTTAAGACATTTTTCAATATTGAAAAGAGAAATTTCATTATATAAGAGTTAGTTGATAATTATGTAATAACGCTGGGCAAAAACAAAAACATGTGAAACGAATCCTGAAAACTCAGATGTTTGATGTATACATTTGTCCGAGAGTTTTCTTAACAAAAAATTAAGACATTTGATGTATACATTTTTATCTTTCTATGTTAGTGACATTGGTTAATAGAAAAACTATTTATACTCATAAATAATGTAGTAATTCAATACTAAACTATCACAAAATTGTTTATAAGAAATATAAAAAAAACTATAATAAAGTTGGAGTGCCTTTTTAAAATTAAAAAAAAATTGTATTGTGCTTGTGTATTTATTTTATTCATGTACATATAATGCAGATATTATTGACACTCTAGAAATGTCAGTATGCACTCCCTTATATATAATTCTCTCCTTTGTTTCATTTATAAGGAATAAGGATATGATAATTTTTTTGAGTGCCAATAACATGTATGTTAAATTTAATATTATTTAATAGAAACCTAATCGTCACTAAAAAAAAAAAAAAAAAAAAAAAAAAAAAACAGTCATCATTATTTGGTGATATTTGGTGACTAATGTGGGATGCCACTTTTTTTTGTAGTGCGTATGAAGTAGACAGTCATAAGATTGTGCAAGTTATGGGAAAACATATTCTAAATTATGTGATCACCATTCAATAAGAGAGAGAGTGAGAGAGAGAGAGAGAGAGTAGTGTTCACCCAAATTTTTACATGTTGATCGCATCAACGGCAAAGTTCCAAAATCAAGAAACATATAGTGTTATCTTTCAACTTAATTAGCTATTTTGTTCAAAAAAGAAGCTATTTCGTATTTGTTCTAATCATTGTTTGCACTGGCCTTACATATATAGATCATGCTTGCCACAATCATGCAGATAAGTGGTTTTTGCAAAACCCAATTGATTATAGAAGACTCAAGACTCTGTCTTTCTCTTCAAATGAGGCAAAATAGTTATCCTGCTGGAAACACAACAAACGCCACCACGTCCACGTTCATTAATTTTAAAAAATAAAAAATAAAAAATAAAAAGAAAGAATAGTTATCGTATATTCTTAAAAAGTTTTGGATACATTCAAATAAGGCTAATAAGGCTAAACGATCTTTGATTTCCATGAAATTTAACATGGATGATCTTTGAATACAAACATAAAAATTAAACGGTTATGATTATAAATTTGTATTGTGGAGTAAGTCCAAATGAGTGATTTGTATCTATTAACTTATTAATTTATTAGCGCTTGAGCACCTGGTAGTGTCGTATGAAAACATTTTCCTACACTTGAGTACTCTTTCTTTTGCACAGACAATTCGGCATAACGGCATATGCATATCGGCTTTTTATGGCGAATGGCATCTCTAATTTTATCTGCAAAGCTGAAGACGAAGAGGAAAAAATCTCGAAATCCTAATTTGGTTTAACATGAGCCTCATGATAGATTAGGCCATGATGCATGTAAAGTGCTAAGTTTGATTGACCACTGGACCAACAACAACTCATACAAATTAATTATAATTAACAAAATCCCAAAGATAAAATAAAACCTGCCAACTTGCTTAATTTGATGATAGTGTTTCCCAAAGGGAACCAATGGCATTGCTCCCAAAAGTTTGTCTGGGATATGATAATTAGCTCACCTAACAAATTCCAAAAGAAAATTTCAATTCCAAATTTATATATTTCCCTTTTAGCAGCAACCCAAATAATTATTGCATGCACCAATTCCACCTATTTTAATGTTTTAATTTTATACTAACCCAATGCCCTTTTGTGCATGTCAAGCACCTAAAAGCTTTAAAAGCACTTGAAAGTTGGTATTGACAAGTAATTCAGCCTCTAAAAGTCTAAACTCACTATATGGAATTTAAAAAGTTTAGGGCCATCATTTTCTTAAAAAATTAGCATCATTTCTCGATTTATGCTTGTCATCCTAGCGCGGGACCATATTAGTCTTCTCTGTATCGTTCTATTTTTATTGGATATGCTAAAGGGTCATTAGGGCCATCATTTGCTTGAGTGATGTTTGCAAATTGTAAGTGAGAAAT